TCGAGAAATATTTTCAAGATATGGAATTCCAAAAATTCTCATATCCGACAATGGACGACAATTAATCTCCGAGGAATTCGAGAAATTCTGCAAACTAAACGGAATCATCCACAGGACCACAGCTCCATATCATCCATCAACGAATGGTTTAGCTGAAAATGCTGTAGGCAGCTTCAAACAAGGAATCAACAAGGCGCTCCACAATCAAGAAATCACTCCAACAAATCAAAAAACTGCTATTACCAAATATCTTTTCGCATATAGAAATGCACCGCATTGTTCATCGGGAGTCTCGCCAGCCAAAAGATTCTTAAGAAGAGAATTGCGAAATCGACTGGACTTGCTCAGAGCGAAAAGAACAGATTCAGCATCACACAACCAAGTGAAATCATTTCGAGGAAAAAGGGACATCTCATTTGAAGAAGGTGAAAAAGTGTGGGTGAGAGATTACAAGAATCCAATGAAGCCTTCTTGGTCAACAGCAACAATAAAAAGAGTTCTGGGTGATAGAACTTTTCTCTGCAACCCGGAATCAGCTGATCCATCTCTCATTTGGAAACGACACACAGACCAAATCACCAAATTTGATAATTCGAAACCAGCGGGACCTGAAAATCTTCAACAAGATGACATCATTCAACCTGAGGGGGAAGGAGATCAACAGAGTGCTCAACCCAGCGAATCATCCGCAAAATTCAATTTGTCAGTGTTGTGTCCGGAAGTCGTAAATAAAAAATGTGTTAAAATCGATGATCAAAAAGTCAATCCCGGTAGTGATTCAGTTTATCATTCACCAAGGTCAATTTCGAGAAAAAGTTTTAATTCCACGACAAAAGTGTCAAATGAAAATTCAAAAGAAACTCAAGACAATAAAAAGACTCAATTCAAAGTGAATCAACGACCGAAAAGAACGACAAAACCCATTGATCCCTTAAAATATTAAAAATATATAATTTGTAAACTTAAAAGGGGAGGAATGTAATATAGTTCTACTTTATCCCTATATGTGTCACTACTATAGAAGTGGGGGGGGCATGCAAAGTCCGCTTGCTGACTGCTCAGTAATGAGCGAGATTCTCAGTTAGTAACACCTTTCCCAACTTATATATTCCCATCAAATATATCAATTATTCATATAAGTAATTCTGGTCTTATTTCACGACACCACAGAAATTTTGTAGGTATGATTTTCTGCAACAGAACTATCATTAAACTCTCCAAAGAATCAGTTACAAATAACTGAAAGTTAAATTTGCTTAAAACTTGAAAAAGAATTAATGTGAGAATTAATGTGTTCTTTGAGATGTCCAGAACAAATGTTTAACAAAAATATTTTTCGAATTATAAGGAGTAAATCCATATAAATATTGATGAGCATAATATTGTTGCGTTATTCAAGGAAATGGAAAGAACAACTTTTCGCATGGAAGCAGTTTCCAAATACTGTGGATGTGTGAGACATATTATATTGTCGCATGAGATACACTGCAAAAACAAGTGTCTCATTTTGAGACGTTTTGTCCCATATTTGAAACACATAAGATGTCTTAGTCCACATATTTGAAACAGATATGTGTCTCATTTTAAGACGTTTCAAAGTGTCTTACACATTTAGCAATGCATTTTGAGACACGAAATGTGTTTCGAGTATCCGTCTCACACTAAGAAGACGTTTTACGTGTCTTATACGCATTGAGTTACCTTTAATGTCTTAAAATGAGACACGAGATGAAATTAAATGTCTCAATATAAAACAGATTTTGTATCTCAATGGTTTAAACACTTAAAGCAACTCATTTTAAGACACGAGTGAGATACCAGTTTTTGCAGTGTATGAATGTGCAAACCATATTTGTAGTTGCGCTTACCAATTCAACTGTGGATTATTACATACGGCTGCCTCTCCCACATTACTATGGTTCGGAGATCCATATTTACATGTTACGCCCAAGTTATTTTCACGGCATCCATTTAAAAGTGGACGTTTATATTAGACGTTGTAATTTCTGTCGGTCATCGGTTTAGTATGCGTTAAGTCCAGAGTTGACTGAAATGTATCAAAAAATGGGTAATGATAGTAATATTTATATCTGAATGCAGTTTGAGACTTAAAAATTAATTTCAGGGTATAATTTGTTTATGTATTTCAGTCAACCTAAAATAATAAACAATCCAAAAAAGTTGACATTTCAGAAGGCATATTTTTTAAATCTTAATTCAAAAGACATCATTCTGCTCTTAAGCGACAAAATACTTTTAAAGAATATTCGATAGCCAAATCTAGTGTTCTAAGTCGGTTATATTACCCAGAGAATATTACCGAGAACGAGAATATTACCGAGAATATAACCGACGATTAAATTCTCTGAGAATTTAAGAGAATGTGACATAACCTCACTTTTGTCGTTACACTGTGGTAAATTCGATTGTCCGACGTTGTGTTTTTATTTAGTAGTTGTTATTTTGTTAATTAAAGTGGCTATATTTTTAAAGATTTAAAAAATGACAAAACCAAAGAGTGTAAAATGGAAATATTTTAAAAGCAATGAATACAAAAACAATTAAATTCTTCTGTAAATTTTGTAAACAAGAATATGCCACAAATGCTATATATTAAAGGTACTTGCACAGCTCTACTGACTGCAGGTTGTCATGGTAACACATAAGAGCAAGAGAGTCAGAAAATTCAAATTAAATGGTTTTTCTCTCTTACTCTCGCAGCAGAGCTGACAGAAAGCCTTTATTCACAAATAATTTCAAAATATTTATTTAAAAAATTTTTTAATTCATTGTATATAATGTTAAATATAATCCTTATTCTTTATTTATCTATATTCAAAAGTATCTAAACTTTTATTCGTATTAAGTTACGCATATTTTATAAACCTTATAAATGCAAATGACATTAAATTTATAACTTAAAAAATTTGTGGTTTTACTTTTTTTTATTTACATATATAACTTGAAGAATTTTTTTAGATAAAAGTAATCATCGCAATTGTGCTGAATTATATGTATTTATATTAATAAAAATTATAAATATACATTATTTAAATAAATAAACTTAAATTCTCAATATTCTCTTAAATTCTCTTATATTCTCTTTAAAAAATTAAATTACCGTAATTTCCTCAGGGAAATTACCCCAACTTAAATTCTCGAGAATTTAAGAACACTAGCCAAATCTGCTCGCCTACTCACGCCGTGCAAGAAGAAGAAGAATATTTATTATTATTGCGAATTCGTAATCAACGATCTCAAATACCTTAAATTATCGAGTATCAAGGAAATTCAATCAATTTTTAAGTTTTGTCCGCCATATTGGATTCGACATTTTGAATTTAGAAACTCTGACTTTAGATTCATAATTTTTCACCCCTAAAACTCCCGAGTAAGGAGTTTTAAACCATTTCAAATTGCAGGAGTATTAATATGGACTCGTCAACAATAGTATGATTAATATATTAAGCACAATTTTTTACTATAACGTCAAAACTCACAAATTGACTAATGACAATATAAATTCCTCTTAAAAATCCATTTGTTCATGAACTGATTAAATAAATTAGTTATATATTCTTTTATAACGTAAAAATAATAAATAATTAGTTAATATATAAAAAGTGTTCAAAATTTTAAGTAAAGAAACACTTATTATGTAGGAGAGTATAGTCGAGGTTGGACCACTGTCTAGGTAGGCCATTCGCGTTTTTTTGTCAAGTTCACTAGCGCCACCTACGCGCATGCTTTTCGAAGCTTGTCTTAGTAAAACCTAACTTTTTGTTCAATTACATTTTCGGAGGATCGAAAATTGTGTTTTCTGTGACGTCGGTACAAAAAAAGCTCAAAAAAAGTTTTGTGCATAATGTGAAAAACCATTAATAAAAGATAAAAAAAAACAAATTGAATCGTCAAGGCAAGTATGCAGAAAATTTGTGGGACTCATGGTTGAAAGAAAAAGAAAGTAAAAAATCGAATCCCGAAACGTATTTCTTTATGGTTACAACAATTCGGTAATGTTACTTACTGTCAAGGTCGGCCACTATGTGTTTAAAATGCGCAAAGATGAGGACGAGCTACTTCATTTGCAAAAACTGCAATTCTGTATAACTCATAATATAATTGATCATCTTATTAATATTTTTATTTAATTTTATTAATATTTTAGTGCAAAATTTTTTTTTATTTATATTTATTTTTTTATATTGTTTATTTTTATTATTTTGTTATTTCATTAAGTTACAAACTGTAAACAATAAAGAATCAATTTTCCGTAACTCCAAACATGTTATTTTATTTTTTAACGATTAATGCCCTTTGAATTTTAAACATGGCCGACCTTGACTGTAAGGACCAACCTCGACTACAAATTTTTTTTTTAAATCTTTATAACTTTTTCATTTTAAAACCAATCAATTTACTTTGTACAGAAAAGATGTTCCTATTAAACAGGACTTTCCACCCAGTAAAAAAAAACTAATTCAAATGAATTGAAACGAATTAACATTTTTGGTAGGCTCCAATTCGTATTTGTCACAAAGCGGGATTCACTCAAGCTCTTTGTATATTCAATTGAATTTAATTCAATATGTACCAATTTGTCCAAACGAATTCGCATTCGAAAGAAATGGCCAAGGAATGCATTGAATTCGTGCTAAGGAATTGAAAAAAATTAAAGGCTCAAAACTTGTCCAGTGAATTGGTACGGATAGAAGGTTCGGAAGTTCAATACAGTTTCACGAATTCGGGAAAATTGCATCATGGCTCCAATTCGTATTTGTCACAAAGCGGGATTCACGAAAGCTCTTTGTGAATTCTTTTTAATTCATTTCAATTTGTTTTCGTTTACTGGGCAACCATATACTTCAATTGTCCAAATTCATTTTTAAAAAAAAGTTATAAACAAAAGTCAAAAAGGTGGCCGACCTCGACTATGTTCCCCTATAATATAAAAAAATATTACTAATGTATCTAATAATTTTCCGTAATTTTGATTTAAGGTGGATCTTCAATAACAGTAACTCACAATAAGAATGAACCAGTGAACAGTAACAGTGATTTAACTAGTCAACATAATTTAAAGGTATGTTATTACATTAAACATAAAAACAAATTACTTTTAAATTCATCAATTTTCGGTCAATAAAAATGTTGTTAATATTACCGTTGTGGTAATATTAATAGAAAATAACTGGTGAGATCAGGTTTCTTATAAAATAGAAATATTTTTATACATATTATATAAAAACAAATTTGAAAAACCTTGACAAAGTTACAGCTGTAATTTTTCTGTTCATTTTATAAACACTGTTTCTTTTCAAGATTTTCATTTTATGAATATGAATTGCATTATTGCCATATGTTATTACAATTCTATAATAAAAAACAAAAAAAATCATTAACTTTTTAATTCTAAACTATACAAAGTTTAAAAAAGTAAGTCATTTAAAACATTTTTCAAGTTTCTTTTAGTTTCGTGTCAAGTCGAAACCAAATTATAAAACCTAATTTAGTTTCTTGTCGACTTATTTATTTAAATATTTTGTTGTTTGCTATGATTTTTTAAATAGAAATTTCGGGTTTTTAGATAAGTCATCGATTATTAAAATGTACTCAATTTTTAACCCTAGAAGGAGTACGTTAGTTTACTCACCGTCTAAGGAGTAACTGGGGTGTCCGGACACCCCACGCTTTAAACTTATTTTATAAGGTTTCTATTTGACGTAAAAAAAATTGTTTATAATGAATTGATTGGTTTTTCAGTAAGGAACACAATAATATTATTCATATTTTGATTATTTAAAAAAAATTTGAAAAAAACAAAAAAAAAACACCAAAAAATTGCAAAATTGACTTTTTTTTACAAAAAAGCTGTAGTTTCTTAAAAATTTGACTAATTTAAAAACTATTTTGGGTTTTTAAAGCTAAATAGATACAATTTTAGGGGAAAAAATTAGTTTTTGTATTACTTAAAAAAACATAATTATTTGAACATCTGAAGTGAAAGAAATTAAGAATCACTCAGAGAAAAAGTTTATTTCACTTAACCAAACTGTTTAATTAACCTATTTTATTTGTCACGATAAAACAATTTTTTTGATTTAAATAAAAATTTGGTTCAATTTAATAAATACGTAAAATTTGTTTGGTTATTGGAAAGAAATTTTTTATTTGAAGTTGTTTGTTTCATTTAACCAAATTTGTGTTATGAATATAGAGAATATTGTTTAGTTAAATACAATTTGTTCGACACAACACATAAATTTGTTTAGTTCAACCAAATCATTTTATTTGAGTCAAACAAAAATATTTGCTTGTCTCAAAAAGTACATGTGTGAATTTAAAAATGGCGATCTCACTTGTCTACAGTCCGCGTTCGCGTCAAATTCGTTAGTTAAATCGGTAAATCAAAGAAAAAAAATTATAAGTGTCGGTTGGTGTACCAGTGAGAAGAATATTTACAAAAAGATTTTGTGAAGTTTTCAGTTGGTGGTTTCGAATAAACTTTTTTCTGAGTGCACGTATAAAAATCATATAATATATGTTCAATATAATATTTTAAATGTTTTTTATAATTAAGTAATTTTATTTACATGAAGAAATATATAATATTTTACTTAGGTAATTGTTATTTATTTTCCTCTAATAATGTTTGAATTTCCTAATTTAATATTTTCTAGACATATATTATTGATTAATTTATGATTTATTATATATGTATAATTTTAAAATATCAATAATTGTACAATAAATTATAAATTAACCAATAATATGTACTAGAAAATATTATTAGAGGAAAAAAAATAACAAAATTCAGTAAACAAAAATATTTATTTAAATGAACCAAATATGTTAACTAAAACTATTTATTTGAATCAAACAAATCTTTTCTCTTGAAATAAACAAATTTTTTAGTTATATTAAATAAAATTTTTTGGTTAAGTGTAATAACCATTTGGTTAATACAAATAAACGTATTGGAAGAAATTGACTGTATAGCAATGCATTTATTTGGTTGATTCAACCAAAATTTGGTTGTTTCGAACAAATTTTTTTCTGAGTGAACAATTGTCGAATAGTGAAAATCATGAAAATGAATAATAAAATGGACTTTAACAATTAATATTTATTAAAACTTTTGGCGGCACATACAGGTGTCAAAAGATAGAGGTTCAAACTAAATTATCAACGGGTTTTGAGCGTAAAAAAATTATTGGTTAAGCCAGGGGAATACTTCAGGCCTCGAACTGAGTACATAAATTAAGGAAAAGTACGTAATTTTGAATTTGGTACCTAAAAGTACGTAATTTTGACAAAAGGTCCGTAAAGTACGTAATTTTGACCATTTCGACTAAAAATCAAAATATGTATACAGATTGTGAATAAACATTTAGTTATGCCTTCTCTATTTTTATTCACATTCACTTTCCGATCAATCCGCTGACGGTTATCATTTTCAGAAACAGTGATTGGTCGAAAACGAAAGTCATATTTTGTTAATAAAGGGTACATACCACTATACATACATGCCTCAAAATTTAGCTTTTTTGTAGAATTTTTTTACGATCCATGTAAATTTTATTGATCTAGGTCTTTTATAGTTTAACAAAGACACTATTTAACTATATAGAAAACGTCGTTTTATTAAAAAAAATATTGTTTAATTATTTAAAATTTAACAATAGAATACACAACATGAAAAAATGTGAATTGAGTTACTGATAATGTAAAAATTTACTGATTCAACTAGTAACTATGTATAGCCTTTGTACGCGTTCAAATGTCACCAAAAAAAAATATATTTAAAGTGCTGAGATCTTTCTAAAATTTTACACAACATTTTTTAGATATTCTATACTTTCAAAATCCGTAAAAAAATTTAATTTTTTGAAGATGACAAAGTGGTATGAACCCTTAAAGAATTTCAAAAACTTCTTAATTTACAGTTTTTAAGTAAAATTTTATCATAAGAACATATAAAATATTATTTCAATTTTAAGATTTTCCAAACTAATAAAAATATGTTGATTGAAATCCATGTAATTATTTAAATTTAAACTATATCATTCTATTTTGCGATTTAAAGTCGGCACTTTAAATAAAAAATTACAAATTTTGGTACGTAAATTGGTCACTAATTTTTCCTTTTTTGGTACGTAAAGTACGTAATTTTCAATGCCAAAGGCAGTTCGAGGCCTGAATACTTTGAATTTTGCTTGGGGTGTCCAGACACCCCAGTTACTTCTTCTAGGGTTAATTTTATGTTTGGTTTATATTTTTTTCTAAACCCCGAGATATTAACATACCTTCTCCTCCAAGAGTTCAGTTTCATTCGCAAAACATCATGATTTTGATGTAATTTTTTTAACAATTATGATGATAACATTATATTAATTTTGTGCAGGTTGAAACGGATGAGGCCAATCCATTTTTGACTCATACTGAACAGTATCAGTTGCTGATAAAAAGGTACATATTTTAAACATATTATTCTAAAGTAATTTTTAAAAATTTTAAATCATGAGACTATATGAAGTAGAATAAGGACACCTCACGCACACGTTGCAGAGCATGCAGCCATATATATATGTGTGTGATTAATCTATAGTTAGAGCTCTGGGATAGAGGTGTACTCTGTCTGTAAATAGAGGTGTACTCAGAGTATTTCTCTCGCACAATAGTCCAAGACATCCGAAGGTAAATCTCCACTTTCCTGCCTCTCCTGAAACGGATCCAGATGAACATCAAGTTCCATGGTAATCGCGAAATCCTGCTCGTATTTATAAAAGACTAAAAGAGGCGCTGCTGCTCCTTCTTTACCTGCTGTTCAACGTGGTTGTGACGTCTCCTTATTCTACTTTATGCACGACACGAACGAATAATGAGCCTCCTCTCCCTCACAACAACTATTTTTTAAGTTTCACATACACTACAATGTGTATGGATCAATCCATTGTACTTCACCTGAAGTCGCTATAAACTGTATAGTAGTTCTTTTGAAACTTTAAGTTGAGTTGTACGAAGAAAGGGTACTTTTGTGTCTCATTTACACCTTATAAAGTAATGATTTCTTTTGTCATCAATAGGCAAACAATTGAACTGGAGGAGCTTCAGCACAAACATCGAATGGAGTTAGAAAATTTTCAGAAATATCAATTACAGTTACTTACGCAACAGCATCAACAACATTTATCCAATAATGCGCAACATCAACAGCAATCCTCATCACCTCACTCATATTTTGCAGGTGAGAGATTTATCTAACTTTTATATTTATTTAAATTATGCACTAGCTTACAAAGTAAAATGAACCATTCATTGACATTAGAGGTGTGCAAAATTCGTTTCGAACTTGCCAATTCGAAATTCCAAGTTTCGTATTGCGAATTGCACAACTCGACTTGGTTAATAACTTTCGATTCGAGTTGTGTAATTCGAAACATCGATTTTCGAATTGTCTAGTTTGAATCGAATTATCTCCGATTCGAATTTTCTGTTGTCGACTCGATTAATGTTCGGTTCGACTCGATTAAATCCACACCTCTAATTGGCATGTGAACTAAAAAGATAAAACTTGTTCATCTGAGAAAATCATTAATGCAAAAAAGTAACACAATTTAGAAAGAAACTTTAATCTTTGAGTGCCCTCGCATCTGGGTAGGGTTACCAGACGTCTTACTTTGAGAAGGATTGTCCTACAAAAATAAAAAGTCCTCTTTTGTCCTCCTTTGTTGAAATCACTTCCAAAATAGTGTCGGGGAGCATGATTATTCCCCAAATGTCATTTTTCCGAAATGTTATTTTACCGAACTGCACTTTTGCGAATACTCATTTTTGCGAAATGTCACTTTTGCGAAATGTCATTTTTTCAAAAAGCTATTTTTGCGAATTGTCATTTTTGCGAATCGCCATTTTTACGAATTGTCAATTTTCCGAAAAGTCATATTTGCGAATCGCCATTTTTACGAATTGTCAATTTTCCGAAAAGTCATTTTTGCGAATTGTCATTTTTACGAAAAGACATTTTTGTGAAATGTCATTTTTGCGAAAAGCCATTTTTGTGAAATGTCATTTTTACGATTAGTCATTTTTGCGAAAAGTCATTTTTGCGAATTGACATTTTTGAGAAATGTCACTTTTGCGAATTGTCACTTTTGCGAATCGCCATTTTTACGAATTGTCATTTTTGCGAAAAGTTATTTATAAGGGAAGTGTTCCGGTTGTGGGCACCTTTTTGTTTTTGCCTCATAACATTTTTCCATGTGCATATTATACAAATATATGTGTACGAATTTAAAGCTAGAGGTCTAAGGTGACTGTCAGTGAAGGAATTAAATTGATTCCTTTAAATAAAGTTTTATTAGAAATTTAGTGAAATGGGAATTTTTTGACAAAAAAAATTTTGTACCCGGTTGTGGGCACCCTTGAAAAATCCGCTAAAAATGGAAAAATATTAAAGGAAACCAACACAAATAAAGAAGAAATGAAAGTTTCTTTATTTTAAGAGAATTTGCCGGGATAAAGAACAAAAATGATGACACGTTTTCACACTATGCTCATCGCTAACAAAAGCATAATGCTTGCATGTAAAGTAGCTAGTACGCATAACATAACGCACTTCGAATGCACTGAACGACTATATTCATCGCATTTAATGGAGTTTGCGGCTGTCACATTCCTTGGCAGAAAGTTTAGATAGATGAGACAGTAGTCCTCATCATTGTCAGATGGTAGAGCTTCCTTAACATAAAGGTGCCCACAACCGGGAATGAAAGTCATTTTTTAAAAAGGCCAACACATTTTGTGATGCAGGATTTTGGTTAAACTCGAAGGTAAATCACAAAATATAATGACCACAGTGCAAAAAAAAAATTAAACTCTTTTTTTCTGAACGAACACGACTTGCAATACTTAGTTCAGTAAAGTCTGCTTGCCGTCGAAGTTTACGTAGGGGTGCCCACAACCGGCGCACTTCCCCTACCAATTGTCATTTTTGCAAATTGTCAATTTTCCGAAAAGTTATTTTTGCAAATCGACATTTTTACGAATTGTCAAATTTCCGAAAAGTCATTTTTGCGAAAATTCCTATAGTGAATCTATGTATGCATACAAGTTTACTATAGGAATTTTCGCAAAAATGACAATTCGCAAAAATGACTTTTCGAAAAATTGACAATTCGTAAAAATGGCGATTCGCAAATATGACTTTTCGGAAAATTGACAATTCGTAAAAATGGCGATTCGCAAAAATGACAATTCTCAAAAATAGCTTTTCGCAAAAATGACAATTCGTAACAATGACTTTTCGCAAAATTTTTTCGAAAAATTGACAATTCGTAAAAATGGTGATTCGCAAAAATGACTTTTCGGTAAATTGACAATTCGCAAAAATGACATTTCTCAAAAATGACAATTCGCAAAAATGGCAATTCGTAAAAATGACTTTTCGCAAAAATGACATTTCACAAAAATGTCTTTTCGTAAAAATGACAATCCGCAAAAATGATTTTTCGAAAAATTGACAATTCGTAAAAATGGTGATTCGCAAAAATGACTTTTCGGAAAATTGACAATTCGCAAAAATAGCTTTTCGCAAAAATGACAATTCGCAAAAGTGACATTTCGCAAAATTCGCGCATGAATAATCATGCGACCTAGGGTCACCCTAACTCTGGGTCAATCTGATCCATTACTTTTTTCATCAAGTATAATTACAAAATGACTGAATCGATTTACATCATATATACTGTCCCAGGTATGATTATGAAAGAAGATTTCGACTTTATCAGCCAATAGTGACATCTATTAGATGGCAATTAAATTCTTGGTTTATAGTTAGGTATTCTTATGATAATTATATCGATATGGTTATGGAGAACCATATCTATTTTTTTCTTGTTCCCTCATGTTTACAATATAGAAATAGAAATATTGCATTGTAGTAATTAAAAGTAGTGTCAGGGTGTCTAGCGAACCGGGAAATCGGGAAAAACCCGGGAATTTGGTTCGACCTCAAAAAACCGGGAAAAACCCGGGAATTTTCTATTTATAGGGTATTTTTTGAATTATGTATATAAAAAATTATAATTTTTTTCAAAATCGTCAAGGGTAAATTGATAGTATGAAGCAGTAGTAAAAATAATAACTTAAATTTTATTTAAAACTAACTTTAGTATACGTTATATTATAAAAGTTAAAGGATTTGTACTATTATTATTTTTATATAACAATTTATAGGTATACAATACGTAACAAATTTTATAAGAAGAAATTAAGAATCTTCTGTGATATAGGAAAGGCAAAGATTTTACTTTTTAAAACTAAATATGGGGCATTCCATTTCAAAATGATCCTCTTTATAAACAATTGACATTGTAAGGCAATTTTTAAATCATTATTTCTCATATTTATTGAAGCCAAACTTTATTTACTATTAGTGGTTTTAAAACAAAAATTTCTCAACTTTATAATGGTAGAAATTTTTTTTTTTAAATAATAGAATTTATGAAAAAAATTAAGTTTGAAAGATAACCTTTTTGAATATCTCAAAACACGTCGCATCCGATTTTCTTGAAACTTATGTAAAAATAAAGCTTAAATATTCTAGTTTAATTCTATGTAAACATTATAATGTGCAATTCATGGTTTGAGAAATTAATTAAATTTTACAAGTATTTCAAAGGGTATAATGTATGTACCGAGCGGAATTTTTTTTTTCAAAAAAAGTTTTTCTTAAATTCCCCTGAATTGACAATTATATTATAAAGTTGAGAAATTTTTATAAGTGAAATTTTGATATTCTATGTCAAGTTTTTAGAAATTATTGTATAACTTTAATCATTGTAATTTAATAAAAACAATATTTAATTACGTAAATAATGTTATTGATAAACATTTAAATATGTTTTTAAATCCTTTGTGAATATCCGGGAAAATTATTCAAGAACCCGGGAAAAAACCGGGAAAAACCCGGGAATTTTAAATTGACGATTCGCTAGACACCCTGAGTGTACACATGATTTGGGTGTTTTTGCAGTGAAGTGGTTAATAAATCTCTCGACAACTGTATCGTTGAAGTCACCGTCACTCTTAAGACCATTATTAGTATAGATTTTGAAGATAGCAATTGGTTTTAAAATAACACAAACGACTTTCTGGCCCTAGGTATTAATAGCGAATTCGGTTATCTGCTCTAGAGTGCTCTCGGAGTGCTCTTGCTCTGTGCGGGAGTACTCTCTGTATGCTTTAACTATAGCAAATCTGTTAAATCAAACATCCTAATCCTTCGCGGAGCACTCTTAGAGCACTCTAGATCAGATAACCGAATTAAATAAAATAATCGAAACTGGGTCAGGGGCTCGGCTCGGCTATACGAGCTTTTTGCACACCTCTACGGAAACCTTAACTCAGTACAGCCGATTTATCCAGAACTTAATCTAGAATGTATAAATGGAATAACGCTATGTCAATTCAGTAATTTGACATAAAATTCATAATCAGCGGTCCCAAAAACTAAAATTAGCAATCAGTAATTAAAAATGATATATAAATAAGTCCTTCTGAGGAATATAATTATTATATTAGTTAATTAAAAAGGTGTATATGTTTTCAGGTCAAATAAAGTCTCCTGGCACTAGCGAAAACATATTATTAAAAAGCAATCTACAAACACCCATGAAGACGAGTGTAAGTGATTCGATTGAGAGAGAAGAGGCGCCAAAGCAGGATTTGCAACAAAATTCTGATGCCTCGCGTGCTTTAGTTCAACCAGAAATACACACTGGCGAAATAATTAGGACTGTAAATAATACGATTTCAAATCAAGTAATGCATATAATGCCAGAAGACTCAAATATTGAAAAGAAAACTAATGTTGAGTCATTTCAAGATATAAGTTCATCTAACTCCTCCGCTTTTACTTCAGATGAAAGAATCTCTCAAGCTACTGATTATCGAAAATTACCTGCATCTCAAGAAAGTTTCCAAATGCAACCGACGACATATTCTGTTTCCAACTCGGAAAATGTACATAATGTTACGACGCCCGAAGAAATGACGCAAATTAATTCTAAACTCATACATTTTAATTCTTCCGAGCTCGAACAATAACACAATATTACATTGACGTTTTATGTTCAATTAACAGATTATTATCAATTATTTCAATGTTACTTTGGTAATGAATGTCTTACATTACCGTTACAATTGTCATCAAAAATGTTTTATTATTGTTGTATGGTATTGTCACTCAGATATATAAAGGTTATTATTATGTTTATTACAATTATGCTTTCTTATTTTTGGCCTTAAACAAATTATTAGAGGTGTGCAAAAGGCTCGATCGAGTATTTTCGAGCTATTCTAGCTTTTTGCACACCTCTACAAATTATACGCATTTATAGAAAAATTATTAAATTATTAAAGTTCTAAACTTTTTATCGAATATATCCAGGGGTTCGTTGGGTTTGGCCTGATGTCCCCGCAAAGTGGATGACTTGATAAAATTTAGTATCAAAGTCGTATAACTTTAAAAAAAATTGCGAGTCTGGGATTGTAGACGAAAGATTAAGCTTAAAGGCCAACGCAGAATAGAATCTTTAACCGGAACCGCAATCGTAAGCGTAACCGTAAGAATGAGTTAAAGAAGGATAGGTATATTGTTTATCCTTCTCTAACTCATTCTTACGCTTACGGTTACGATTGCGGTTCCGGTTACCTGCGTTGGCCTTTAATTTGAGCCCAAGTAGAAGTTTCCACGAACTTTCGTTTCGTATCTAGAGGTGCTCAAACTTTGACAAAAGCGCTATTTTTTTACCTTTTAACCCCGTTTTTCTCGGAAAAAAAGTTGTTGTAGAAGCAGCCTGATGCTCCTTCAATTAACCGGACGAAACGATATAAAGTGGTCTTCATACCACTCACATGGTTGATATACTTTTATCTCCGTAAGGCCGCTTATATGCATCTTAGATCGAAGTGTGAATTCCCCATAAGGGTGCAATTCCATGGCACCGTTTTGCGTTGCGTTTTGTAAAGGCCAACGCAGAATAGATCTGTAACCGGAACCGCAATCGTAAGCGTAACCGTAAGAATGAGTTAGAGAAGGATAAACAATATACCTATCCTTCTTTAACTCATTCTTACGGTTACGCTTACGATTGCGGTTCCGGTTACAGATCTATTCTGCGTTGGCCTTAACTAGGCCATGGGTGTGAGAGAGATGGAGATATATGTTCGCTATATTTACACTTATGGCCTTGTTACAAAACGCCCTTCATTAACTAGTAAACCATTTATGATAATTTAATAATTAAGTTTTGATGACTTTAAATAAATTAATTTGAAGTGTAAATATAAAAGTTAAAGAGTGTAGTAATTATTAAAATATAAGATTTCATTTTCAAAATTGGAATTCCTTCCAATTTTTAATGTATATAGTTGCGAAGAACCAATAAACTGCTCGATTTCTGGTCCTTGTGGAAATCGTAACGTTCGTCGAGGCCAACACGTTCAGCCAAAACAGAATGTAAACGTAATTTGCCCTGAGGAGTGTAAAACCTTACTTCCTAGTGGTATGTAAATTACTATATATGATTGTAATGTTGAAAATAATAATTAGATATATGGGCAAATCCACGGAGTTAGTCGACATTTACTTATAAAAATGAAAATTTTTAAATTGAAAGCACACCACTCATTTACGGTTCATTTTTTTCAAAATTTATTTTGGAACAATTATCTTCTTGCGTGATTCATTTTAATTTAATGCCGTGCAAAATAAAAATAAAAAACGAAAATATGAGTTTTTTCAGAAAATACAATTAAAAATGTGTATTTCTTTCTTCTTTTGTTTTCTATATTAATATGTGAAAAACATGAATAATTTTATTATTTCTGTTTATTATTCATTATAATTATTTATTTGTGTAAGACAATTAATATTAATATATATTTATGATTAATATAATAATTTATTAATAACATCATTTTGGCATCTATTTTTTAATTCCGTTAGTTAAATTATCTTAATTTTGACGAAAGTCAAAATAAAAAATAACAGATGAAAAGTTATTCAATTTTTCACATTGACTGATAACGTTCATAATGAACTAAATGAATAAATAATGTAAAATTTTATTGTAATTCTTAATTTTCTGTCATTATAAATTAGAGATAAAATTTGGCATTTGAATATAAGAATTATAAAAATGCTTTCTAATAATCACGCACGTTTTCAATTTATTTTATTTCAATCTGTAGATGTGCTCCTAGAAAGAGGCTAAGTTTATAGAGTTGTTCACGCTCAAGTCTAAGGTGATAGTTATTGTAATATTTTCTTTAATTCTAAGGGCACATTATTTTAAAATACCCAGATTTATTCGTCTGTTTAAAACGAATAAGTGCGGTTGTCAAAAATTTTAATGAACAATCGCCACGAAATTTATAATACAAATTTTCCATAAATTTTGTTATTAAAAAATAATGAGTAACGCTATTTTCAAGTATTACAATTTCTTTATAATTAAGAGCACATCTTTTTTTTATCTTTCAATACATTCTACAAAAAGTGAAGTTCAATTCACCATCGTTTAGAATTGTTTCGTTGTATGCCAAAAAAGTTATGCCCATAAGAACAGAAACTTGTACCTAGGGTAACACTGCAAATTTCATGATTTAGATTAATTTACTCTGTTTTATTATTTATATAAGGCAAGTAGGCTAACATTTATTTAATTTTCTTAGTTCAATAGATTCTTAGATCTTCTCTAAAGTAGTAAAAACATGAAAATAATCAGTAGAATACTTTGAAAATATAAAGATTTGCCAGTAACATGAAATCGAACGGTTCGGTGGATTTACCCATATACTCCATATATAAGTAGGACCATACTTTATGGGTTTCATTTAATTTTTAAAAATAAACATTTATTAGTGAAGAATTTATTTAAAAAATTAAAATCATTTAACCTATTTAATAAAAATTTATAAATGGCAGAAGGACATCTTTGGTTTTTAATGTAGCTTTAAATAGAATTTTAGAAATATTTTAATTCATAATTTAAATTTTATTTGCGAATAGACTTTTGGAATCTTATTAGAGAGCCTTTGCAATGCTGTATCCGACAAAACGGTACTCCACCTTTTGGAGCTAACTATGTCATTAGTTAATATTAATGTATAGATAATAAAATATTGTTTATAATTATCATCAACTTTGTCGCAAGTTTTTCATACTGATTCAACCATATATGTAATGGACGAAAAAGTATTTATGACGTTGTGTCATGGAAAAGTAGCCTAACAAATTTTGGTGGATACAGCCATGAGTTAAACAAGGATATAAATATATGTCTGCCTTTCTAATCCACAAATTAGTTTCCAAAAAAGTTTTTCTTAATTACTTTCTGACAAGAACTTAATTAAATTAAATACATGGCAAAGGTAACGCAAGACGCAACGCGTAACGCACAAAAATACCATGCATTTCTAGCGTGTTTTGCGTTGCGTCTCGCGTTATTTTTACGATGTCGTTGAGTCCACAATAGCACTATTGAACGGAACGTGAACGTAACGTAACAATGCTAAGTAACTGTTTCGTTACGTTTACGTTGTAAAGTGAAAATTCCAAACATAAAAATTAAAATAATTTCAAATTTTTGAGAAAAAGAATTGGTGTAAACTAATATTCTTCATTATGCAGAATATATTAGATGATTATTCTCGACTTTTGAATTTCATTCAATATATAATTTAAGGCCAACGCAGAATAGATCTGTAACCGGAACCGCAATCGTAAGCGTAATCGTAAGAATGAGTTAGAGAAGGATAGGTATATTGTTTATCCTTCTCTAACTCATTCTTACGCTTACGGTTACGATTGCGGTTCCAGTTACAGATCTATTCTGCGTTGGCCTTTAGTTTATTGAAGATTTGCGTATCTAGTCATTTCTAAATTATGTATTCGGCATAATGAGCATTCGGGACTTAAGTCTAACGCACAATAGGTTCGCGAAAGTCGTTCGCGAACGAGACGCATGAGATAGACAAGGACACAAATATATCTCTGTCCTTTTCTAACTCATGCTTTGCGTTCGCGAACGACTTTCGCGAACTTATTGTGCTTAGGCCTTTAGGCTGGAGTCCCATGAGAGCGTTTTGCACGGAGTAATAATAAGGAGACTGTACTACCAGTGAGATACCGTGCCAAATGTCTGCCTTGGTTCACTGAGTAGTAAAGACTTCTCAAAAATAAAGCGCATGCGCAGTTTGCAACTATCTTCGTCACTCTTGAAAGAACGATGAGAGAGATCATTATTTTGACGTGCGAGTTAGAAAGTGTGGTTATGTTTTATTGTTGACAACAGCAACTATACGGGAAAATCAACATTTAAATAAGAAAAAATATTAATTAACAAACTGCAAAGAGAAGAGTAAGTACAATATATTATAATATTAATAAATTGTAATATAGGTGTCAGTAGATATTAATAAAAAGATTATTTTTGTCGAACCGGAGTAATTCTTTTCTTTGTATGATAAAGTGAATGAATACAATATAATATAATGCTATAATCGCTATAATGCTAATATAATTAATATCTACTCACACATTTCCTATATTCATAACCACACTTTCCAACTCGCACGTCAAAATAATGATCTCTCTCATCGTTCTTTCAAGAGTGACGAAGATAGTTGCAAACTGCACATGCGCGTTATTTTTGAAAAGTCATTACTACTCAGTGAACCAAGGCAGAAATCTGGCACCAGTTTGACTAGGGGATACGCTGGAGAGCAGTCTCCTTATTATTACTCCGTGGCGTTTTGCATTGCGTTTTGTAACTAGGCCATGAGTGTGAGAGAGACAGAGATATATGTTTGCTCTATTTGCACTCATGGCCTAGTTACAAAACGCAACGCAAATAGCTACCATGGGACTCCAGCCTTATGTTTTTGGTACAGACGGTCGCACCCCGACAGTAAAGGTACTGTCTCACCTTGGCTGCCTGCCTGCCTGCAGGTTATCATGGTACACTGTAAAAAATTCTGGTGTATTAAAACATACTGAATGTAATTTTACACAGCAATATTATAGGCTGGACGTAGTAAATTTACTAAGTTTCAAAGTAGTTTTACTATTTTTAATAATTTTACTTTATATGACTATGTAATTTAATAGTTTTGTGTAAATTTACTACGTCCGACGTAGGAAAATTTGATCACTATGTCCAGCATGTTGTATTACACTCGTCTGTTTTTTTACTTTATTCTGTGAATTTACAATGGTCATGTAAAGTTACCACGGATACGTAAATTTACGTTGTATTGCATGTAAGATTACATGCCGCGTGTATTTTTCCTTTAGCGCGGAGTTAAATATATTATATGGATGCTTGCACATGCTCAAAATAAAGTGAACTGCCAACACCGACATTTTGCCTTTTTTGTGTTTTTATTATTAGTATATATATTTTAGTGTTTTCAATTAGTATTATTTAACAGATTACGCATTAGTTAAATTACATGCGGCATGTTTTTGAACAGAACGCTATTTGAAGCAACCCATTTTAACATTGAGCATGTAAAATAACATGCAGGTTATGTCAAATGATCAGCCATTTGTAAAATTACACGCTTGACGTAGTGATTTTCTTTTCCTACGTCGGACGTAGTAAATTTACATGAGAATTTTTTACAGTGTAACACATAAGAGTAGGAGAGTCAGACAATTCAAATTTTGTTTTCTCTCTCTTACTCCAATTGCGATTGGCAGCCGAGCTGTGACCGTACCATAACTTCTGAAAACACCCCTTGTGGACTCAACCTAAAAGCACTCATGTAAACGCAGCTTTAGCCGGTTTTTAACCTGGTCGAGTGAACCAGCTTTTACGTGTCAACATGTAAACTCGCCTTTAAGCCCACAGTATTTGCAGCTTGCAGCCATCTTTATAAATTCATTTCTTTTGGAGGAAACTCTAAGTTGTTTAAATTTTTGTTTCTCTTTAATTTCGTAAAATAAGTTAACTTTTAAAGTGTTCTATTTATTGTAGTAATTAAGAAGTTTGCATTTCGGAGTAGAATATATTTCGTGTACGAGTGACTGTCTTCATAACTCGACATTCATTTTGAATACAACACCTATCTTTTTAGCGGTTTATTAAGAATTATAATAACTATTGTGTGTAAGAACAGATTTATAATCCACCAAAACGGCGCCTCAAAGGAAGTCCAAGAAGATGCAAGAGACGGAGGAGTTGGAGGTGAGTTAAATTCAAAGCAATCTTATTTAATATTCAATTATTCACAAAAAATTAAATATCAAAATGTTTGAACATGTAAGTATATATTCCTAAAATCTTACTAATTTGCATATCACACAATGGGAATCATTTTTTAAGGTTAATTTAAATTTTAATTCTGTTTAGTATTATCTTGTGAAAAGTATTTATTTCAATATTTGCAATTGTTTTCTGTGGCTGTTCAATGATATTATTATACCTTGCTTGCCAAGTTTTAAAGAATTTATTTAGATTTAGTATTCGAACAAATTGTTTAATAATTAAATAGTCCTGTGACGGTTGTTTAAATTTGGAAATTTTCACTCGAATATCCTGGGTCTCTAAAGGTATAATAATAATAATAGGAGGGTTGGTTTCTGTAGAGAAGAAAAACAATGTTGGCTCACTACTGAAATACCGGTTCATTAGATGGACGATTTGAGATATCGAAAAAAGGGTAGTGGAATGAACGAAATAAAAGTCGTAATACTCTCTTTAGTGTAACTTTAACATGTCCAATTAATTACAACTCGTGGTTGTGCATATGTCCCGTTTTTATTGTTGCAGAAATCTCTTTATTTTCCAAATCACTGACTTAAATATTTTCCTCTTAAGACATTGAAAGTTTTTAAAACTGTATTACCTTTTATAAAAGATATAAAAAAAAATGTTAAATTTGTAATGTCTTTTTAAAAATAAAACTTACTTGTAAAGGGAGCGTTCACAAATGATGTCACGTTTTTGGGGGTAGGGGGGCGTCTCTACTAAACGTGACACAATGTATTTTTACATGGGAAATTGCATGAAATTGCGTGACAGGGAGGAGGGGGGGGGGTCTAAAATCCCGAAAAATTGCGTGACATCATTTGTGAACGCTCCCAAAGTAAGAATTTTTTTAAATTTATTTTAAATGTAGTGAAAATATTTAATAGCCATAAATGTGATAATTCTAACGCCGGTCAAAGTAATATTAAAAAATTTACAGAATATGTGACAAAATGTTCAGTAGCATTATTTGCCAGGTTTAAAATTTGTAGTGATAAAAAAGAGTGGGCAGAATATTCAGTAAAAATTGTTTCTGATTTTAGAAATAAAAATCGAACCTTTAATGAAGCAGAAACTAACATAAACATATTCTGAAATTGTTGATGATAAGGTACCTCTTGTCGCAATATTTTTCAAAAATAAACAAAAAATTTGTTTTTAATCGAAATGGTGTTGAAATATTATAAGATATTTAATTTTTTGTAATTATTTTTCTGCTATTGAAGACTCACATTTTTAAAACATTTATTGAATTAATTTACATAATTGTCAGTTTTTTGGAAAAAAAATTATTACAGTAGCGAAATCAATAACTATTTCTTGACTTTTTACATTCTCATCACATGAGAAGGTATTATTGATACTATTTTTCATGTCAAGAAAGCGGGGCGAAAGTAGAACTTTTCTCAGCTCCTCTGAAAAGAGTGTCGAAAGTGAATCACAAATTCACAAGATGTCACTCAACATCTTTGAAGACAAGTTCAAAGCATTAAATATATTACACATAATTACACATTAAATGACCCCTGAGTGCTATTATTTTCTATCAAAATTTTTTATTTTTTAAAATCTTATTGTAAATTTTGGATTTCCTTAAAATACAAGTTTTTAATGATAATAATTTCACGTAGAAACCTTTTCCTCGCAAGGCGTTGGAGAAATGCAGCAAATTTGCACTCGTCAAATCACTCATTTTCACCATCACGCATAGAAAGGGTTTGCTGTGGCAGTGAACATTTTGCTATAGGGACAGCGAAAAAGTTCGCTGTGAGATCAAACAAGTTCGCTATGACAGCAAACTCGCATAAATTTTTACTAATGTTTGCTGTCACAGCTAACATGTTCGCTGCCACTGCAAACTTCTTAGATGTGGTAGCTAATTTTCAGAGATTTTACAGCAAACATATGTTTACTGCTGCAGCTAATTTCTTTTTTTCCGTGTTCTTCAAATACTGTTTGCTTATAGATTTCTTTTAAATCATTACAGCCTCTACACGGAAAAACTTTGTTCAAGAAGAGTTATTCCGAAGCTGTTACAAAACCACCTGAGAAATTTTTCAGTGTTTATTGGATATTTTGGAAAATATTCGTTATATTTTAGAACAAAGTTTTTCTGTGTTCAGATCGCACATTCCACACTTTTGTCACACGAGTTCCTAACTGAAATATTGCTAACTAAATGGCAAAGTTATCCAAGATTGCTGAACAAGTTATCAATATTTCCCTAAACATTTTCTTTCTCTGTGGAAAGAAGATAAGTTAATGTTATGTAAGGAGTCAGGAACAGTTGTAAAATCCCATTGAAATATGCCTATATTTAGGTACCATTTTCTCAGCTCCAAATGATTATTTTTCATCAAACTTTTTTTCTGATGATTTTATATATACAAAGGACTAAAATCTGATTGTTCGATAAAGCAAAATTTTTATTTTTGAATTTTCTGTGGCATTTTGAAAAAATAATAACCGCTCGAAAACAACTTAACGGATATGGTTCTTTGTTTAAATAATTGTACATTAATGGACTGTAATCTGATCGTTCAGTTTCACAAATAAATTAGTTTATTTAAAGTTATTTGATTATTTAACTAAAAGAACCAAGAAAACGAGTAATTATTTTTTCAAAATGGCACAGAAAATTTAAAAATAAAAATGTGGCCTTATCGAACGATCAGATTTTAGACCGTTGTATGTGAAATCAGCAGAAAAAAGTTTGATGAAAAACAATCATTTGGAGCTGAGAAAATGGCACCTAAAAATAGGCATATTTCAATAGGATTTTACAACTGCTCCTGCACCCTTAAAGAACCAGTGGCCAAATTTGGAGATTGCTTCAAAATTTCAATTAATTCCTAAACATTGGAATGTTCACAAATGATGTCGCATGTCAGACATGAGAAAAAGGATTGGGTAATCAATTCAATTCAATAGGGTCGGATTTATGACCGGTAATTCGTTAAAATCTGCAGAAAATTTCAATTTCAGTCATATTCTTTAACAGATTTTAAAAAAACTATTATACATCTGCGATTCCACGTTAAATTTCAGTCCACATTTGAAGTTATACCTGTTAGTGTTTTCAATTATCTAGAACTAAAACTATGAAATTTAGAAAAATGTTGTCAAGAGAAGAAAAGTAAACTGTTTTTAAATCATCAGCAATTTAAAAAAGGCTGTTTTTTAAACAAATGATAACTTTTTTAAAAATTATGTGTAAGAAGTCCCGAGGTGGGCCGATTGAGTTTAAGGTGTTTAATGCTTAAAAAAATGCACTGTACATATTTTTAATTTGCGAGGTGAATAAAAGAATTGAAATTAGTGACATATTCATCTCTAAAAACCCTAAAACATAGTTTTTGATGCTGAGCGTCGTCGCTTACTTCAGGGACGTTTAAGTTTCCTTTTAAGAAATTTTTCAAACTATTGTATCTTTTTCTGGAAGTTCCAATGCAATAATGTAAACATCAGATAAACCCTGAGTTGTCCTCGTTGTTAAAACAGAATTTGTACTGGCTCTCAAAATTTTGTGGCCCAACGAGTGTCAACATTATTGATCGGTAGATTTAGATTTAAGAATTTAAGTATTTCAGTTCTTAAAAATTCTTCTTATAAGGTATATTAATTAAATAACGGCATAAAAGTTTTTTGACACACTGAGAACAATTTATGCTTAATTGAAGTAGGTTAAGTTTGGATAACTTTGTTTATTGTAATATAATTTATAAGTTTAATTTAGTATAACTGTGCAGAAAATGCACACTACTTTAAAAATATTATTTATTTAAATACTATATTTAATTTAAAAGAATATTAAAAACCGCTGCCAAGTTGTATATTTTTGTAATTCTCTTTGTGGTCATTTCATGAACACTTTGCTTCCTTATGAAGATAATAATAATAATTAAAATATATGAATAACTTTTCATAAATAGGGTAAATAATTATTAAACCTTGGGCCAATCAATGTCCTGACATTTTTTTAAAGTTATGGTCAAAAAACGTTTTTTTACAAAATTAAAGCTTCGAAAAAAATATAGTTTAACTTTATGAAATGGGCTGAAAATACTCTCATTTCATGTCCCTAAAATTTAAAAAAATTGAACTTGAAAATTGAAATTCTGATTCTGAGATATTAAGACTAATGAAATGTTAATACATACACACGGACTGTATTTGGAATCCTGAGGTGAACTTACTTCGAATTATGTTTATGTCAAAGAATCACAATCGAAAATGTTCGCCAATACAATCCTTCCTCTATGAGAAAGCAAAATATAAATATATCAGCACCCACTGAATTTAGGAAATTAAATTTTGAATTTAAATTTTTTATGAAATTGAAACATTGCTTCTTCCCATTTGTGATTGTCCAATCTCTTACTGGGATTACCTCGCGATTCGTGCGTTTCATATAATAGCCAAGCAGTTAAACTTTTCGAGACGCTAGGAGAATGCTCTTTTAGTTTTATTCCAAAACATTTATGAATTTTTAGTTGCAATGAAATAAGTTATGTTTAGTATTATTATTTACCTGTTTTTACTTTTAAATCATATTTCTAAACAGTCATATTTTTTGACTTGGGAAATTTGTCGAATGTCAATTTATTCTCATACATATAGGTCGCAGAAGACCACAAAATTGTCAACATTCTTGAAAAAGCCATCTTCAAAAATAAAATTATAATTTAGAAGCACAGTGTCGATTATTTATTTTTATTAGGAATTTATTATACTTTATTTTTATTCTTTTTAATATAAATGTCAGTCCACGTTGACTATACATATCATTAAAGTTGACATTTTTCATATGGCCTAATTTTCTTTCAATTTTTTGTATCCTAAAAAACAGAACTCCATGATATTTTTAGAATTATTTTGAGAAAATAGTTACATTAACATTATTTCTAAATAAAAAATAGATAAATAGAAATTTATTGCTACAATATTTTTATACAACTTGAAACAATTAAAAAAATGTTTAAACTAAAATTAGATGTGATAATTTAAAAACTTTCTGATAAAGCGTGTATTTTTGGTTTGAGAAGACTCTGCTAAAAAAAGGTTGTAAAAGTACAGTTGCTAGCACAATCACTAGATTCTTGATGGTATAGTCTGATCCTATAATAATACGATTATTATATTTGGACCCATAGATGGAGCAAGTTTTACTTTGAGATTTATACTAATTTAAGTGCATGCAGTTACAGTTTACTATTCATTAAGTAAATTTTGTTACATATTAACTATTAGTTGGAATAAATTTCAAAAGACGAAGAAATGTACGAATGTATTTTTCAAGTATTGAACAAGTTTTTCTTGAAAACAATACTAACAGATTGTAAGTAATTATCTTTCTATTTATATTTTTCTTGGTTATTTGTTTGTTTATACGTATTTTGAATATTTGTGCCAATATATCACCTAATCTCTAAAGCAGATTGCACGCTTATGTTTATCACGAAATAGTGATGTTTTTTTAATAAGTAATCAAACTATTTATAACCACAAGTAATAATCAACATCTTTTTATAATTAGAGTATACTTTTAGTGATTCTTATTAACCATTACCTGACACATTAGGGTTAATCTGACAAAAACGGTTTTATTCTTAATTTGTTCATCTATCGACAGTCAAGGATTCTTCAGTGGTAACACAGGTCAACAAAAAAAGACTTACTTTTTTTTATGAGATATAAATAATATATCCGAATGGTTTCCGATGTATTTTTGGACGCTGAACACGATACCGACTTCCAAAATTGCCCATCACGTCAGGATTTTGAGAAAAGTGGGGGTAAAGACCCCAAAAACGTGCGTTTTTGAGGGTTTTCAACATTTTTTTTCTCTTTAACCTGACGTGTTGGAGACTTCCATAAGGTCTTAAATTAAAGCTTATAATGTGCACTACAAGACCCATACCCATAAAATAAAAAAAAATAAAAGTTTTTTTCAAAAAATGGGGTTGAAGACACAAAAAATGTGTGTCTTTGGATTGCTTTAATAGACTTCTTGCAATTGCTTGGATTCGCTTGAAAATGGTTACTCGGGCATTTTTGGGGTCGCTGATTACGAATCCGATATTAGTTTTCAAAAATTCAAATAGGGGAGAGTGGGGCAAGACGGGGTACCGGCCTTATTTAACAAACGAATTAACCAATCGCGATTATATTTTACATAATACTGCACCGAGACGATAGTTTCTTGTTTACAAAACCTAAAAGCCATGAGAACAAATCTTTTATCTGTTTTACTAAAAAAACTGTTTTTGACGATTTTCTTGTCATTTTTTCACTTTTTTTAGGAGGTGCTTATTACTTAATAATAACAGTTAATGAACTGTACAAATTTTTTTCTAACTGTCAAGGGTTACAGAAGAAGGGAAGCATATATTTTTTTTTTTTGTTGAATCGTAAATTGTAGTAATTAATCGTTTTATTCAATTTCGTAGGTGCGGGCAAGATGGGGTTGGGGAGAGTGGGACAGGACGGGATACACAAATTAAGCAAAAAAAAAAGAGAAATAAGAGAAGTTAAGAAAACTACTAAAATCAAGACTGAATAAAATAAGAGTGACCAAAAAGAAAAAGCTTGTATGGTTAAATCATCAATTAGCGATGGTAAAGTGGAAAATACACCTAGTCTCTATTGTAATGATTATTATTTAGACTCAAATGAAGGCTGGGCTGCTTTTTTTGTCTGCGGCCAATGGGCTCACTGCAGTTATGCATGAAGATGAAGATGCAACCTTTACTTGTGAAATTTGTCGACAGAAATAGGTTGCTTTCTTGAGTACCCCATCTTACCCGCCGGTGGGGCAAGATGGGGAGATTTGCAATTTTTTCAATATTATTAATTATAAGCTTTTTTAAGAAACATATGGCCTTTGTACGCCTTTTTTACGAAAGACTGATTCCCAAAGATGACAATTAAAAATAATAATAAAGTATATATTCGATAATTTTCGTTTTTTTGCGCTTTAAACCTTAAGTACCCCGTCTTGCCCCACTCTCCCCTACCGGATTCGTAATCAGCGACCCCAAAAACCCCGGAGTAACCATTTTCAAGCGAATGCAAGCAATATTAATTTTTACATCTGCCATCTTGGTTCCGCCATTTTGAAAACTAATATCGGATTCGTAATAAGCGACCCCAAAAACCCCGAGTAACCTTTTTTAAGCGAATCTAAGCAATTGCAAGAAGTCTATTAAAGCAATCCAAAGACACACATTTTTTGTGTCTTCAACCCCATTTTTTGAAAAAAAAATTTATTTTTTTTTATTTTATGGATATGGGTCTTGTAGTGCACATCATGAGCTTTAATTTAAGACCTTATGGAAGTCTCCAACACGTCAGGTTAAAGAGAAAAAAAAATGTTGAAAACCCTCAAAAACGCACGTTTTTGGGGTCTTTACCCCCACTTTTCTCAAAATCCTGATGTGATGGGCAATTTTGGAAGTCGGTATCGTGTTCAGCGTCCAAAAATACATCGGAAACCATTCGGATATATTATTTATATCTCATAAAAAAAAGTAAGTCTTTTTTTGTTGACCTGTGTAATCATACACCAACCGTGTTTGTTGAAGCACGGTTGAACTGAAGAAGCATTAGACTAGCTGCTGTGACTGCAACTTGAAAATTTTTAAAATTTATTTTCATACAAATCCTTCTATCTATTTTTCAATAAGAGAAACCATTTTTGAAAGAACCATAAACTATAATCCTGATATATGTACACTGAGAAAACGATTTATTTGATTGAAGCATATTTTGTTGAAATCAAACATAAAATATCTTTGCTATACAGTCAAACATATTCAAGTTTAATTTAAACTAAAACTTAAATTGGTTCATTTAAAGAAATAATATATTTAATTCAAACATAAGTTATGGTTGATTTTAAATTATTTATAATCAACTTTTAAGTTTGATTCAAACATAACTTTTGTGGAAATCAAAACAGAAAATATGTTTGAATTAAACATAATTATTGAAACAAATAATATTTTTGAATCAAAGCAGCAGAAATTTTCTTTATATTGGGATTAAGCTTGTAAACTAATTTCAATTAAACAAAATCACTTAAAATTATTTTTCTATTTGAATAAAGTATAATGTTTTCTCAGTGTACACTGGGGTCACAAAGTTTCAGTACATTTAGACTGATTACATTCGAATGCTTGCTTTACTTTAAATTCAAATGTTTCAGTAAAAATAGGTGTAAAAACTATGAAACAGGGATCACTTTAAAGTTCAATAAATTTGGAGTCAAATGAGCTAAGATATAACCAATTTAATCATGTAAATATAAAAATATAATTCTTTAAAGTTCAAGTTTTTTTGTGAAAAAAGCGATTTTGAAATCTTGAGTTTAAGCGAACGCCAATTATAGAAAAAATATTTGTGAGCTTTGACAGTTGTACAATATGAAGTACAAATTTCATTCTTTAATTCTAGACCAAAATCATTCACAAATATTTAGTATTTTCCTCAAATTCTATAAAAAATACATAAGTACTTCTCTTGCTCTAAATTTTTAAAAGTATATAAATTAAAATTACAGATTCGTCGTTTCCGTTCACTTGTTTTATCCATTAACCACATTTTTTAAAAATATTTATCTCTTAGTTATTGTAAAATAAGAATATGGTACATAGAAATGAAATAAGTAATAATGACAGAGTTAAAATTTGTAAGATAATAAGAAAAGAGATGTAAATATCTTAAATTTCCTACAATCAAGAGGTTCTTAAATTTTACAAAAGTGTAGTTAATTAATAAAACAAATGAAAAGAAACGACGAATTTGCAATTTATATTCTTCGAAAAATTTAGAGCAAAAGAATTTATTTTTATAGAATTTGAAGAAAATACTTAATATTTGTTAATGATTTTGGTCTAGAATTAAAGAATGGAATTTATACTTTATATTGTACAACTGTCAAAGTTAAAAAAGAATTTTCTTTCGCTTGAAGTCAAAATTTCAAAATCGCTATTCTCACAAAAGAATCTCTAACTTTAAAGAATTATATTTTCATATTTACACGATTAAATGTGTTATATCTTAGCCCATTTGACTCCAATTTTATTGAACTTTAAAATAATCCTAGTTTGATAGCTTTTACACCCATTTTTACAAAAATATTTGAATTTGAAGTAAAGCGAGCATTCAAATGTAAGCAGTCTAAATGTACTGAAACTTTTTGACCCTAGTGTAATAATCTTTAAAGTATAGGAAAATTAAGAAGCATTGTTTTCAATTTTTACATTATTTCATTGTAATACATATCACATCAAATTACTCCATTTTCAACTTGACTTCAGTGTGACAGGTATTTAATTCCACAAAGTTGTAACAGTTTAAATATGAGAAAAATTCTTCAAAATTGATATCATCCTTGCGGCTTATTAAGAAAATTGGAAAAATCATGGAGTTCTTTTTTGCTTAATCTTAATAAGAAGATTAAAACAAGCCAAATTAAGAGTGTCAATTTCGATGACGTGTCGATTTGGCATTGAAAGCCCTTCTTATATCTATCTTTTTTTTATTTACATAATAAATTACTGTCTGAATTGTTACGAGTTAGAAGTTACTTACTTTAAGTAAGTAATACGTTTTTGACAACTTATTGAGACTTTAGTTGACAGATTATTATATCACGAAATGGTTAAAATTTGAATTTTTTAAATTTTTTATTAGTAAGATAGTATAAGTAAATGAATGTTTTCTCTATTTAAGATCTAAAAGTTTAAAGAACTTGTTTTCTCTCTTTTTGAAAATCTTGTTTTTATTTCTATACTTATGGTTTCTGTTAATAATAATAATAATAATAATAATAATAAGTTTTATTTGTTTATAATTTGCTAGTTCTGACAATGTAATCCTTAAGAGATTAACGGAGATTGTTCTTTGGATAATTTTGTTGTAGAATATGGTGTTAAGTTTTCGAGTATCTGAACTGCAGATGCTATTGGGATTCGCCGGGCGAAACAAATCAGGCCGCAAAAATGAATTACAAACACGTGCCTTGGAACTTTTGAGACTAAGATCACATCCAGTTCAACTAAAAATACGAGAACTTTATAAAACCATACAGTAAGAGTAAAACTTATTTGACTTTCTTATTACTGGGTGGCTAATAATTCAGAAGCGCAATATTGCAATGTCGATTCGATGTGTTAGTCTTTCAAATTGAGAGTCCATACAGAGTCGCATTCAGTGTTCTGAGTCAGGGATGTAAACTTAATGCACTACACTTATTTAGTGTCAGGCCTGCTTATAGTTTGGTAGTACTTTATAGTACTTTTCACAGTTCCAATTCGATTGGCTAGGTTGGAATGGTTTTAATGAACGTCCTAAATTTGCAATTTGTTTCTGTTTTCATCATATTTTTTAAAACGCCCTTCATTCAGCTTCAAAGCAAAAAATTCAGTGAGACCAGAAGGAAAAGAGTAATTAAAGAACATGGCCAGAGAATTATGTTTATTTAATACCTAAATATGCTTTATCTACTAAATTATACTTTATCTACTAAGTCTCATTGAAATTCATATTTTAGGTTGTATACATTTTTCTACTAAACTGATAAAACATTCTGAAAACGAACAGGACGCATGATTATTTCCCAACTGACATTTAACCAAATTGTTATTCAACTGCCATTTCATACTAGTGAAACTTAATCAGAGGAAATTTCTCTTGATTGACAATTATTTGGTTAAATGTTAATTGGTGAAAACTCACATTTTTGTTAAAAATTTTAAATACGTACTTTTAAAGATCAGTAACTCTTTTTGACATCTTTTCGACATCTTTTTTAAGATTACTTGTTTAATAAGGTAAACATTAAACATCATTAGTTGGACATTATTTCCCAGCCCTCTGTTTGTCTCATTGCCTTTCTTCTTATTTTTCTCCTACTGCATTTTTCATTTTAAAGCACAAACAAATTACCTATCTAAAAACTGTAAAATCTCTCATTTTTACTTTTGACTTTCTTCGTACGTCGTAAACTTTAACATGATCTTTCTTTTGGTTTCATCGAAACTCCAGAATGCTACTTTCTGAACGTTGACGTTGATTGGTTTCAACGCGTCGTTCAGAAATCCGCAATCTGAAGTCACCTTGAGATGTTTGGGATATTTCACTCACAATGAGGGTTTGCATGAGATTTGCATGCGAGCAGAAAGTGTAAAACCGAATGCGGAAAATCATGGGAGCGAGAGAGATGGATCTATTAATCCATCCTATTCTTGCACTCATGGTTTTCTGCTTTCAGTTTTTCGCTTTCGGTTCATATGGGATCGTACCATCAGAGTATCACCAAAGGCCAAAAGGGTGCCAGTTCAGAAACCTTATTAATATTTTGTCAAATCACTCAAAATGTAAATAACATAATTTAATTACTTACAAATCTCCACGTAAATTATATTTATTATATTTACATCCCTGATTCTGAGCGTTTAAAAAGTTGTTCGTACACTAAAAAGAAAATGAAAAGAAAAAGTCTAAAGAAAGTTCTATTACCCTTATTGACATTTGGATGAAATGGTCTTTTTCTAGTACTTAATTAATTTCCCGAAATTTATTTCAAAAACTTATTATATAGTAAATGTGAAAATTTGAAATTTTTAAAAAAGGACCCGTAGTCACATCAGGCGTGCGTCAACTACTGCAAACCGAATAGTTTTAGTCTTGCTTGTTTGACTACTGCTTCACTAGGACCAACAGGCTAAAACCAAATCTAGAGTTTGAGTATAAAGTCTTACAACATAAGTGTGTCACGCCTTTTAAGCAAGACCGCCTTCCAGATTAGCATGGAACGCTTGCAATCCATATGTGCGTGAAATTTATCAGTATAGATAAATTGAATAAATATTTCGTCGATTGATGGCACAAAGTTTCCATTCGAATTAAGATTTGCCATCTCAAATGTCAACGTTTTTTCTTTATTTTAGGTTGACAAAAGTATAACAAAAAAGCAAAAATCATAAAAACTTACAATCTAAAATTTAAAATTGAATTCAGATATAAAAATTTTAATCAACCTAAAATAAACAAGAATTTCACATCTGAGATGGCATTTTTTTCAATTTTCAATTTTCAATTTTCAATTCGGATGATGTATTTCTGCTCCCAATCTGTAACATGAAATTTATGGGTCTTAAATAAAATTAAAATTAAAATGAAATTTTCAAATGCAATTATTATTTAAAGATCTATACTTAATTATATATGATAATCGAAAACTTAATTTCAATAGCACTAACACAGGATATTAAAGGTTCATATCCTGCAATTAGGTTTTCAACGCCTAAGGAAGTGCGTACAATTCCCAGTGGTTAAAAATTTTGCTTTATTGGAGATATGTTTCTTGGGCCTAACTAGAATTGCACAATCTTTTGTGTATGAGCGTGCACTTCAATCACTAAGCATTGTTAAGTTTCATCAAAATTTTGAGGAAGATGGTACATAATATTTACTCTGTTCATAATTTTAAAGAAAATATTTTTAATAATATAAAAGATTGGATAAAATATTTTAACTTAACATATTTTTTTATGAATTGTTTATATCCAGATCTTCCAAAACTGTTCGAAATGAATTTTCATGATATTTTAGTTTACATTAAAAATCATGTTTTAGTTTTAAAGTTATGTTTTCTTAATAAACGCAGAAGAGGGTAAAAGTTTTTGATAAAGCGTCAACAGAGTATCTTACTTACTGAAAAATCTTCATTTCTATTTGATCATCCAAATGGTCTAATCACATTTTAACATAAAATTGAATTTAACTTATTAACAATACTTACAATTGAAATAATTATCCATAGTCAGTGACGTACAGATAATTTTACCTTATATATTACATGTATTTTTTTATGTCAATTAATTACGTTATGTACATTTTGAGTTTTTTAAAAAATGTTAGTGATATTTTTAAGACAGCGTCAACTCTTTTCATTTAAAAACAACTAATGAAGGTGCCGTGAGGTGCCGCTTCATAAAAGACTTTGCTTTCTATCAACGCTTTTATAAGCTTAAATGAAACGGCGCCTTGACTTTGCACATATTGATATTCCATTCTTTTCATCTCATTAAAGTTTACGATTTAAATTTGAGGGTGAACTCACATAGATCCGAAAACGACGCATTTTTAAATTGAAAAATCAAGTTATACATATTATCACTATCCTAGTGATTTCACCCTTACATTTTCAATGCGCGTTTGCCTCGGTTTGCCTGGATTGAATATACAGTAGAACCTCGATTATTATCCGAGGTAATGTGGGGAAGAGGTGGCTCGGATAATCAAAAACTCGGATAACACGGAACAAATGAAAATTTCAAAATTTTAAATTATTTTTTATGTGTTTAAAGTGGTAGAATAATATTAAACGACAAAAATGGACGAAATTTGAAATGCAATGATCGCAAATAGTGGTTTTGTAAACATTTTTTTTCCAAATTTAGTCGCTCGATCCGTTTTATCCGAGTTATTCTGGATTATCCGAGCATGTTTAGTGCCTCGGATAATCCGGAATCTCGGATAATCGAGGTTCTACTGTATCTTTAAACGTAATCGGAGGGACATTATGAATTAGTTTCTAGTTTATCATGCTAAATATTATTCTATACATATTGAATACATTAAATATTGAGTGTCAGTAGTTTGAGACAATTCTTAAACTTGGTTCTAACTAATAATTCTTTTCAATTTCTATTTTTTAAAATTTTACAATATAAACTATTAATACTATATTTTTCGACAGTATTCACATTTTTTAATAGGTCATTTCATTCAAATTCTTAAAAATAAGTACTCAAATTTTATTCAGACTTTTTCTTTTCATTTACACCTATCAACCATGTCTTTAAATTCTTTAATATAGATTTTTAAGTCTTTCTTTTTCTTAGACTTAAGTATATTGCAAATTTCTACCAATATTGAACGTTGATAATATTTCTTTGTAGAGCTGATCAATTGACTACTCATCAACCATATATTCCAAGTGGTGGTTCAACTGAAAATTCAATCGATCAAAACATGCATTCCCGTAATTATTATACTAGGTAAGTAAAATTGATAAATAATGAGTTCACTATTAAATTTCATTCTGTAATTGTATATTACATGATTTTTAGTTTAAATATATATTCCATTATATAACTACATTGTAGCAATTATTTAGAAGCACGTCGAGAAATGTAAACGTTGATATTTACTGAGTGTCCACCGATCAGGGAAGTCAAGGAATAGGCCTCAAATTCTATCCGAATCGGCAAAAAAGTGAAAAATGATTTTTTGACACCTAAGCCCCGTTTTCCTAGACCAGATCATAGTGAAGAGTGCGCTGTAACAAAATTTGTTGGGTTACTTTTGTATAGCACTTAACATTATAAATGCTTTTTTGTACATTATACGGTTGAATAAGGAAGAAAATCTTGCTTTGATAAATTTTATGATAATTATAAACTACATATCTTTGATTATTATAATACATTAATTTCAATTAATGATATTTTGCTCCAAAAGCTAAAGAGTCGTTTTCGCGTATACAACTGTGTTACAGCGCACCCTTAATATGTAAGAATAGTAAATAAAATCAATGAATAGAAACAAAAAATGTTAACAGTCGAACTGTAAAAGGAAAAATAAATAACAAATAATAATAAGTAAGTAGCAAAGTCTGTATATAGGGAACGGCTAAACTGCAATACGCCATCTGGTGGCGACCTATTCTTTGTGATTCTCCCCTCCAATTTTCTTTCTTTCTCTCTCTTCAATTAACAGGTTAGAAAGAGTGGAAAAAACAAAATGGAGGGAGAGAATAGGTCAAAGTCACTAGATTGTCTATGGCCATATTAGGGAATGAAACACACGGCCCGACCTGGGCCAGATCGGGCGACAATCGGCCGTGTGTTTCATTCCCTAATAGGGAAGGCCCGATCTGTCCCTGATCTGGGCCATAGCGAAATTTCTACACGGGTACTAGACCACCGTTCCCTATACAATCATTCCTGCCTTTTCCTATCTTATTTACTTTTAGTTTTTTTCGGACTTTTTCGAGCAATTTCTCGCTCGAATGCAACACTAAGCAGACGACCTAAAGGTTTCTTCGTGTGCATATTACATTTTTAAGTTTAAACATAAAAAATTTAATATTTTACTTAACCGATCAGTTATTAAAGAAATTTTTTTTATAAACAACCTGATTTTTGTAATAAAACAAATTTTTTTGAATCAGTTTTTTTTTTTTTTTTTAATAAAATGGTATTTAAAAATACCGATTTTGGTTTTAAAAGAGAAAACCGGTTATGGATTTTCAATACCCCACAGGCCTACCCATAACATTAATGTTATTTGGTAGTAAACAACCATCGGCGGGGTAACAATATGGTTGGATAAGTAATTAAGCAAGCTTTTCAGCGCACTAAATATCACGGCTTTAAATGAGAGCAAATGAGAGGATGGGAAAAATAACTCGCCCAGCGCACGGTTGCAAAAGATAATATCAGTCATGTTGCAGTAAGAGCCTCTGGACCACATACTGCTACCTGACTGGCATTATCCCTTGTGATCGCGAGTTCTTCTTCCCATCCGCTCAAATTTAAAAGCCAGTGCAAGACAGAGAAATGTGCGAACCTTTGGTCTTCCAGAAGGCAGCCAGCTTGGAAATTCTATCATCTCTTCGCGATGAATTACTAGAATTACTTCCTTGCTCAAGAAATACAAAATTAAATCCGTTATTCAACTCCCACAATGTCTGCTTTGATTTGCAGTCTATTTGCAGTCCAGTTTAAATTGACCCAAGCCGCATCCTTGAAATCCGATGTGAAATGATAGTTGATTCAAATTAGCTACTCATATAAAAAGAACAATCATTGTGATACTGATAAATGGTGGTTACTACTGAGTCCTCATCAACCGTCATAAACAAGAATTCAAAGTTTTTAAGTTTCTATTTGTAATTCAATGTTTAGTTTACATTTATTTGTTGTAGACAAGGCCATGCCCAGGCAATGGGCCAACAACAGGCCTCAGTGAATTCCGGAAAAGACTTGCCTCCTGCTCACCAGGCGTCTTTGCCACAGTCTCAAGTTGTATCAAGATCTAATCCTGTATATCAACCTACTGGTTACACGAGTGTAACGCCTCAGGTAAAATTAAATAACATTTACTTTCTATAATTCAAGAGTTATTTCAATGTTTTTCTTAAATCAAATTTTAACAATATCAAATATTTTTAGTAAGCTTTTAAATTGTAATGGCCACTACTAAAGTTACTCGATTATTCATGTTGGTGAAGAACATTTCGCAAAAATTTAGCATTTTCCGTTTCCCCACAGCAACGGACAGCAGGAGCTGTTTACCCATATCCTTATCCTCAAAAAGTGTTGCCCATGCAATCATCTTTACAACTGCAGCAACCTAATCAGTATCCAGTACATCCAGATGTAAAGTTTAGAAAGTTGCCGTTTTTTGACCTTCTTGGCGAATTGCTGAAGCCTTCTAGTCTCACACCTCAAGGAACAAGCAGGTTGCAAGAAAGTACGTTTATATTCCATTTGACTCCACAACAGTCGACTGACATAGCCAGTTCACGTGATTGTCGCCAAGGGAGTAAAATGGATTACACAGTACAAGTAAGTTTCATATTTTTTAAGTAACTTGAAACTCTGAGCACTATCTTAATTTTTAATGAGTTAACCTCTTTATACTTGGATGAATTTTCTTTGTAGGTACAGATGCGGTTTTGTTTGCAAGAAACATCATGTGAACAAGAGGATAATTTTCCTCCTAACATAGCCGTGAAAGTGAATGGAAAAATATGCCCTTTACCGGTAAGTTTCTTCTCATTTACTGTTTTATATTGCAGTCTAAGAATATTTAAACCAACTGCCGTATCCATCTGTAGGTCGGTTTATAAAATTTTATAGAAAAATTACATCTCAAATAACTTGGCGTGAAATGAAATGTGGCGACAGTCAGAGTAGGAAGTTGATTGCAGATTTCTTTTTCAGAATCCAATACCAACCAACAAACCAGGAGTGGAACCGAAACGACCTCCACGACCTGTCAATATTAGTCCTTTAGTAAAATTATCTCCCACTGTAGGCAATCAAATTTGCGTCACATGGTCGGCAGACTATAGCAGAAGATATGCAATAGCCATCTACTTGGTAAAGAAATTGTCAAGTTCGGAGTTGTTGACGAGGCTCAAGAGTCGCGGCGTTAGGCACTCTGATTACACGAGAGGACTAAGTAAGTAATGCGCAATGAGTTGTTCGGCATTTTGACATTAAATTAAATTAAACAAAATCTTCCTTTACTTTCAGTCAAAGAAAAATTGAATGAAGATGCAGACAGTGAAATAGCAACTACTTCGCTCAGAGTATCTTTAGCGTGTCCCTTGGGCAAAATGCGAATGAGTACGCCTTGTCGAGCTTCAACGTGTTCACATCTACAATGCTTCGACGCATCGCTCTTTCTACTAATGAATGAGCGCAAGCCAACATGGAATTGTCCAGTTTGTGATAAAGCTGCATTATATGATAACCTTGTAATCGATGGCTACTTTCAGGAAGTCCTCAGTTCCAGTAAACTTTTGTCAGAAGTTAATGAAATTCAATTATTGCAAGATGGTTCCTGGGAGAATTTGGTTCCGAAGAAGGAGAAAGAGAAGGACAAAACTGATAAAATAGAGATGAGTGTAAAACATCAAAAAGTCAATGTGGATACTGTTGATTTAGGTAAGCTTGACTCTCTCTCTCTCTCTCTCTCTCTTTATTCATCGTGATACAAATTCATTGTCGATATTATTAATATACTATTTATAAACTGTATACATACTCGATTATAACTTATGTTTTGCGATATTTTTGCAGACGAAACAAATCCTTCAACACCAACACCGAAGGAAAAGAAGCGAGCAGTTGTGATAGACTTAATCTCAGACAGTGAAGACGATGAAAGTGATTCTCATTCTTCAGTGTCACATAAGAAAGTTGCTCTCTCGTCGTCGCCACAAAAGGTTCAATCCTCTACTCACAATGCAATCAGCAGCACTAGTGATTCTCCGGAACTTATGATTATAGATTTAGAGTAAAGACTCAGTGAATTAAAAGAATTCAAGGAAACCAAAATATAAATATACTTTTTCAAATGTATTTTAAGCTATATGTAAAACGACATTCTCGCAACTTGATTTGTATTAATAACAATTAAACGTTCAAGTTATTTTCTTTAAATTTCGTACTAAATTTTTGTTATTAACTGTATGGAAAAAATAAATTGTACATTTAATAAAGTTTATTTTTTCATATCGCACAGGATTAGTACATTGTGCACCAAGTAAAGTAGTACCTAAACTGTTTTCAATGTTTTCATAGTCAGATAACACTGTCCTTTTCACTGCTCACTGTGAAATTCTGTTTTCGGAGGGGAGACCGGGGTAAAGTCGTACGCTATGAACTCAACTTAAGATGGAGATATCGGTACTGTGAATAGTACTTAACATTCAACTTATGTTGTTAACATACAGTCAGAGGTACTCAGAGGCGGTCAAGTGTTTTTAAAGATGTCAGAAAAAAACATTCTTTGGATTTTTAAGTTTTTCAATCATTACTTTCAGTCTTAATTTATTTAGGTAAGTTTTTTTGATGCAATTGAAGTACATTTTTTTTCGAAGTACATCTAAAAGATTTACCTGAAGTCGGAGTAAAGCCGGTCACTTAGTTTTAAATTCAAAAACTTGGAATGAAATAATTTCATATTATATTTTAACAATAATAAAATTTAAAACTTGATAAATCCACAATTGTGACCACATTTCGATGGCTCCTAAATGAAAACACATTATTCGCGAGAGCATTTATAAAACATGTAACTCACGAAAACAAATAGAAAATATGCTTATTTAAAATGACAGTTTTTTGAAGGCTATGTGTGACAATTTTTAATATTTATTATTTTTCAAGTGTAAACTAATTGCAAAAATACAAGTAGATAAATAAAATTGTTTTATTAAAGCTAAATTAACTTTAAATAATAAAAGTTCTTTATTTGGCATTTTATATTCGCTTAAAATAAATAACAAAATTTTTAAAAAATAGCCTTAAAAACGATTTCAGATGAATAACGCTTTTTCTATTTGTTTTCGTGAGTTACGTGTTTTTATAATTTCTGTCGCGAATAATGTGTTTTCATTTAGGAGCCATCGATTTCATTTTCTCTTAATAAAATATAACATTATTTAAATCCATAGTTGTAATTCATGAAACCTATTAGAGGTGTGCAAAAAGCTCCAATTCACTTGAGTGAATTCGAGTACCCGAATATTTCGAGTACTCGATTGAATACGAGCTTTTAAATTACTAAAAAAAAACTAACAATAAGTAGAAAATTTCGAATTTATGGGATATACTGATTACAGAAAATCGTGAGGTGTTAAAATAAGTAACTTACTAACTAAACCAACGCAACGTAACTAACGTATTACCTAACGTAACTAACTGAACTAAAGTAACTAACATAACTGACGTATTTAAAGTAACTAAGTAAACTAACTTAACTAATTAACTACACCAACGTAACTGACGTGTTACTTAATGTATCTAATGTAACTATCTAAACTAACGTAAGTAACATAAACCTAACGTAACTAACAAACTAACTTTATTGTTAGTTACATTATTTATGTTAGTTTAATTAGTTAGTTTTGTTTGTTGCATTAGATACGTTAGTAATGTTACTTACGTTAGTTTAGTTAGTCACGTAGTTACGTTAGATAATACGTTAGTTATTTTACTTAGTAAGTTAGTTATTTTAACACCTCACGATTTTCTGTAATCAGTATATCCCATAAATTCGAAATTTTCAACTTATTAAAATTTTTTTAGTAATTAAGTTCGAATCTAATCAAGTACTCAAAAAGTTCGAGTACCCGAAAAATTCAAACTTTTTATGAGGCTCGACTCGACTCGAACTGATTTGGCTCGGCTTGGCTCAAAAATACTCGATCGAGCTTCGAGCTTTTTTTTTTGCACACCTCTAAAACCTACATTTATTTATTTATTAAACCAATATTTATTCTTTACAGAACTCATAATTTATCAATAATAAGTCATACTTAAGATGGGAATAAGACGAATTTTAATATTTAAAAAATAAAATTGTTCCGTCTTGAAAAAATCAAGTGACCGGATTTACCCCGGTCCCCCCTACGCTTTCTGCTTACATGGGACTGCACCCAAAAACTCTGATTCGTTGTTTCTGTTAACTTTCACATATTTTCTCTATGTGTTCACATATTCAGATTAGATCGTTCTCTGCGATTACTAACCTCTTGAATGCGGATGATGAAGATTTTCGTCATTTCGGACTTTTCCCAGACTGTCGCAAAAACGTCAATCTAATTCTTCGCTTAGACTAATTGAGCCAACAATTTATATTAACATAAAGGAAACCATTTGTAGAAAATCTAATGTGATCAAAATATGTCATTTTTTAAAACAATTGATTCAAAAATAAATTGAGGTTTTTAAAAAAAGTAGTTTGACGATTCTCTTAAAATCTTTCAAACGTGCCTGTATGTGATCTAAAACGTTTATTCTCGAAAAAAAAATAAATAACCTTGACTTTATTCGGTGAACTTAAAATTACAGACAATAAATACAAAAAGGAAATAAAATGATCAGTGGATGAAGGAAAGTATTAAAGTAATATTTAAAATAGTTATATCTGAAGGATTGTTTATATTTTATATATATACCTATTCCTTTTTTGTTGCGAAAAATATACATACATAAAAGTTAAAGCAGTTCAAATATCACTATAACTTAAAGATTTCTTAATAAGATTTCCAGACTAAGAACTTGAATAAAAATTTAATTATTAAACAAAATTCTATTCTCCTATCAGGTTTTTAAGTTCAAGGAAAATTTCAACACTTTCTAAACAATAATATTTAAAATTTCGAGAATTAATTAATTCAGCATAGAATGCATTTTTAAATTTCAATAGTAGCATAGTACTATTCATCAATTTCATAAAACAAATGAAAGTTATTTTAAAAGATATTCCTTTCTTCATTAGTTTATATATATATATACTTTTTTAATTTTCTGGATTTCATATAGATTGATGATAGTCATCATCTACCAATGTTTGTTACCAAGATCTTCTTACCTACTAGTGTTAAAAAAGAAATTAAAAGTTTTCCACGTTGCATGGGTTAAAAAATAATTAATCAAAAGAAATAAGTTCAGCAATATCGAGTTTCTGCTCCTCCTTTTGTTGCATATTCTCTGTCGGTTGAGGCTTAGCCAACGGGTTGAAGTTGATCGGTTGATTTGCTGTGGTTGCTGGGAATGGAACCGAAGGCCCTGAGGCGACAGGTCTCTCCATAGCAGAAGCTTGATGTGGCAGCTGAGCAGAGTGGTTAGGTCCCAAATTTCGAGTTTCAATATTGATGTTCAGTGCATGTTGCTCCATTGCACTGCCGTGAGACACAGAAGGCCCTTGCTGCTGAATGGTCGCGTGGTGTCCCATTGGGTTGGATGGGTCATGCACAGATGTTGATATTTGTCCGCCGACTTGTGGGCCAGTTTGACAAGAAGCCATTTGACTTTGAGTGTCTTGTGACTGCAATCCCTGGGCCTGCATCACGTGTAGAGGAAGCCTCTGGGGCAAGGAACCGTGGATTGGAATTCCTTGTTGAGGTTGAGACCTCATGTGACCGAGGTTGTTTTGAAGGTTGGCGTTCAGCACTACGCCTGAAGGGTTGGGTGCTTGTAATGGAGGTACAGAATTGCCACTTATTTGCGATATCTGGAAACAGTTTCGCATCTATAACATTGTGCATCATAGTATGAGAAGATAACATTCTTTAAACAATTTGAGAACAGAGAGAAAGCTATTCCTTAAGTAAAATTATGTCTTTGGATAGTTGTAATCGTAACAAATTACCATGGAAGGTCCAGAAATCGTAACGTGCCCAAGATTTTCTCTGCCCTGCATGGAAAAATCAGCCGGCATTTGCTGCTGCTCTTGGCTATTATTTGAACCGATTGGTAATCCGTAATTCTTTATTGGATAACCTCCCGCTGGAGGCTGACCATAACCGTAAACATTCTGGTGAGTTGCAGGTGTCGAGTTGTAGTTACATCCTGGATTCATGTACTGAACTTGATGCACTGGAGAATTTTGAGAAGGCGGTCCAATAAAATTCGGATGCGGCTGATAGACTCCTGCAAACAACAGACGGATAAACAAATTATCTCATTTGAATAGTGCAAATACCTTAATAATATCTTGATAATTATATTTTAATACCCAAAATATATTGCTGCTTTTGTTGTTCTTGTCTCATTTGCATTTCGCGTTCCTGTTCCTGAATTCGCTGAAGGGCCAGCTGACGTTGATATTGCAAGTATTCCTGTTTCTTTTTTCGCATAATTTCTAATTTATGAGCCATTTGCAGTTGTCTTTGTCTCTCAGCTTCTTCAGCTTCCCTTCTTAACTTTTCTCTGTGTTCTTCCCGCAGTGCATCTAAAGCAAGTCGAGATTCCTTGATTTGAGCAACCTTATCCTGCAATCCTTCGTAATACACTCTTTTGTCGTCCTGCTCTTGAATGTATCTCAGTAACCTTCAAATCAAACACAATTTAAAATAACAAGCTCCATTAAGACGGAAAATAACTATTTCTCACCTTGAGTGCATTGCTGTGATGTTCATGAACCAAGTTTGGACGGAGCTGTCATTAGCAATTGATCTTCCTCGAGAAGAGTTGCTTTTCATGCGATTCACAAAGATTTCCACTTGCGATTGTAAGGCATTTACAAACATTTCCATTTCTGTATCAACTTCGCCGTTTTGTTGTTTGACACTGATTATCTTTTGAGATGTATGAGTATTAATGTTAGGAGCAGATGGACTCGTAATGTTTATTCTAGAGCTATGATCATCTGTTGCTATTTGCTTCTGTTCCCAATATTGCCGATTTAAATATTTTGCCAGTTCCGGATATAATTCATCATCATCTGCGACTCCAACCGAACTTGTGCCCTACATTTTTTCAAACATTATTATATTACCATTTTTTCCATAAAAATTTGTTAAAAGCTTACAGTTTGATTACAAATTAATAAAATTGACTCATTAAAAGCGAAATTTCAGTAAATAAAAATATAGATCAACCAACCGGAGATGGTGGTGGTGGTGAATATGTTACTTTAGTAACTGTTACTGCATTTGTGCGTGAAGGACCAGTCGAATGTTTCTTTTCTTTTTCTTTATGCTCCGCTTCACTTTGGCTCAATGCTAAAGCCAATTGGAATTCCTCCTCTTCACGAAGTTCATCTTCTGTCTTTCGAGGTGGAACCTACAAATTAGTTAGTGCTAAATTTTAGATAAAGAGTTTTTTATTGTGTAACATTCCAAGTGATATATAAATATATTCAGGCTATTTGGGAAGAATAGATTTCTCAATTCCATTAACAATTTCCAAGTCGTATTCTGATTGGTTCAGGTCTGCACATTTGTGTACGCTACTGGAACTGGAAGGTGGAATTTTTCGCCGGGATTATCAAAAGTCCGTTAAATCGAGAATCGCTAAATGAGTTTCTGGTGTAAAAAGAAAAGTAAACTCCGTGCTCTTGACACGCAACTATCATCCACTATGAAGAATGACATAAGCCAATGGATTTTTTTGCCCCATTCTACCCTACATTAATCTATATTAGCAAAGATTACGCAAAGAGAGCTAAAGAAGAATGTCGACTTATAAAAGGATACTTAACAATTATTATGATTACCTGTACTTGCTGAGCTAACGAACTGTTAAGGTACTCTGCAGGAAGTTCTGCTTCCTTCGTTGATAATGCTGCAGGCCTGAAATACAAATTAAAACAAATCGACTAAATTTCATCCATTTGAGCCGAAGATATAAGCTTTCAAAGCATTCTCTGATGCATATTTGTTAGTTTTTCTACGTGTACTTCAAGGAAATGCATTTTTAGACATATTTATAATTTTAACTAATTGGAAATAGATGAATGCACAAATATGTGAAATTTAAAGGGCGCTTGTATCTTCAATGCGAGACAGCAGCATGCCCTGTCGCAAACTCACAAGGGCGTTAACTCCAAAAAGTGAGCTTCTTTTAAAAAAGACCATTTTGTCTATTTTATTTCCGGAAATAATTGCATATTTTTCAAAAAGTGGTTCAAAATTTTTATTTTTTTTATTGTTGGAAAATGTGGTTGCTAGATATGATAAGTCTAATCTTTCCACAATGGACCCTCTTCACGCTGACGTACACATATAAAGGTAAACAAGTTTGCATTTTAAATATAACTTACTTATGGAACTGCTCGTAGCAAGACTCGCAAACTCTGACTTCTTTTTCAAACCCAAATTTGGGAAGCGTTGAATTTTTACTTGAACATTGCTGACAAAATACTTGTCCACAAGCTCTGCAATGATGCTTGCGCTGAACCAGGGTAAAAGGTACTCGACAGCGATGACACATTGTTCCATCTGCCCACTCTGGAGCAGTGTCGGCACTGAACATGGCGTCACTTTCTTTCAACAGCGGAAATTTATGACCTTCTGCTCTCATAATATTCACCACGTCCTAAAATAAAACCATCTGTTATTTCTAATACGTAGCGCATTTAAGAAAACTTCTGATTACGACATACAACAAGTAAGTGAAATTCACTTCACTCAGCATACTCATGCTTTTGAAAATAAGAGAAGGATTTTAAATAATAGTACAATAGTACCTGAACAGCTCTATATTTAGGAGTTTTCCTAAAAGCATATGCCCAGGCTTGAATTAGTTCTAAGACTTTTACTTTAACTTCTTCATGTTGAGTGTTCTTTACAACATCCCACAACTGTTCCATGTACTGCTTTGTGCCAATTTCATCGTGAATTAAGCTGCCACAATTCTTAACACAAGATTCTAGAACCTATTGAATAATATATTATATTTAATACCCGTTACTAAAGCTAAACATTTCTTAGTGATGGACATATATTTTGTCACAATCAGTTTAAATTTTGTTAAGTGTGTAAAAAATGTTGACTTTATAAATGATGTTTTATTATTATAATTTAAACTAACTTGCAATCCAAAAAGAGCAATATGAGGATTTGGATTCACTATTTTCTTCTTTATTGCCGAAAGTACATATTTGGGCCTGTAATTAAAATACAATTTTTTTCAGTCAATATAAATGACATAAATGCAAAACTCATTGGAAATCGCCAATAAAATAATACCTATAAATAATAAATATAATAATAAACAGTGTCAAGGTGAAGCCCTTTGGCTGTCTTTCATTGAATGTTTTTTTAGCACCCTCTCCAAATTACTTGAAACTAAGTATAATCACCCAAATGCTGATAAGTTTCTTCACGACATGATTGAATACGAGCGTATGAGTTCCCAAAAAACCGATCGAATTAGAGCGTTATTCTGAACTTTGGATAATAAAATTTCATCCCTGGCGCTGAAAATAAGTTCATTTTATTTAAATGACTATGTTAATCATCAAAATGTCGTTTATTACACTGAAAAAAATATATTTATGGTACTGCCATAAATATAGCCAATCCTCACCGCATATTATATTTTGGTGGATATGGGACTGCCATACAGTATTGCTGTTTCAGCCATACGCAGTGTAGAACAGCCATCCATATGTATGTGAGAGACAGTAATATATGTGAAGAACACCAATACTGTATATGAAGAACAGAAATACAGTATTGCTGTTTCAGCTGTACGTCCTTACCATACGAGTATGACAAAATCGACAATATCATTTTTTTCAGTGTACTTATTTATTTGAAGAGTCTCATTTTCTACTTCGGATGCAAAAACAAAACTTGTTTATCTATAATTGTTTAAAAGATATAATTAAGTTTCAAGTAATTCGGCGAAGGTGCTCCGAAAACATTTTATTATTATTTATTGGACTCGACTCTATGAAAAATTACCCACATTAACGGTTTTTTAGAGGACACAAAATAAAATTTCTCTTTCAACTTTATTCAACAAATTTAACTATGTTTTTTTGTATTTTTAAATTTTATAAAAAACGTTTTTTTCACTTCTAATTGAACATCTTTTAGTCATGTTAGCCAAAGTTATTAACATTTTAAAAAATTAAAATTTTGAAAAAGTAGGTAAATTTTTGTGGTACAGTTCGTCTGTTCCAAACGCAATACACTGGAATGCTGATAGCTGATTATACGGAAACCGATTATTCAAAATGTGTTAGTATTAAAACGGGACAAGGAGAGAAGGGGAATTTATCTACTTAAAGTAGACATTTATAAGACACGGCAGCTTAACAAATAATTGTTTTAGTAAATGACTCTGAATATCGTAAAATATTGTGCTATTGAAACGTACTTACTGAGTATCTCCTTGTCTGACAAGATCACAAATCTGTATAATAGAAGGCCAATCTGGCTCTAGAAGTAGGTGACTAGTAGCCTTTTCTACAAAATAATTTAAATACATTTTTATATATTAATTATATAAGCGCTAAAATTGTTTATTGTGCAATTAACGGCAGTGAGTGATTTTTTCATTTTCAAGTCTACTGGTCAGATAGCACCAAGTTTTTTTTTTTTTTTTTTTTTAAATTAGCACTTATTACAAAGTAACAGTTTGAAAAAGAATTAAAGCAATATGATAAATTAGAAAAACCTTTATATGAAATATAGAGCTTGGAAATATTTAAAACTGATCCATTATTGCAAATTAATTTAAACCACTAAAAATAACACGTTAATTGTTTAATATCTGTTAAAATAACTGAAGAATTGCAAAAATGCTTTCGTTTGTCGATAATTGTACAAAGTTTTTGACAAATAGAATAACTACAATCTAAAAATGTTAAGACAAACAAGCAAAAATGAACTATAATAATCGTGAGAGTCTTTCATTACTTCTGTCTGTCCATTTTGAAGTTACCTATTCTTTTATCCTACCTATGCTTTTTATGAAACAAAAATTACCAACGTTGATTCTACGAAAAAATTTTTAAAAAATTTTCTCTAAAGATTTCAGATTACAAATTTTTCTTGTTTATTTTAAACCCAAGTAAACCGTCCAAACACTAAAATAAAAAAAAGTGGGGAAACAGAAGTTCTTATTTTTTTCTCAGGGAGCGTTCACAAATGATGTCACGTTTTTGGGGGTAGGGGGGGTCTCTACTAAACGTGACACAATGTATTTTTACATGTGAAATTGCATGAAATTTTACAAAAATCAGGATTTTCGTGAAACTTGGTGGGATCATAGTTCTATACAAGGTACTTCTTTTCTCAAAATTATTTTTAAAAAAATTCAAAATTGTAGATGATATGCCATTTCTAAAATAAAATTTTTCACAGAAATTCAATTATTTGAAAAAATTTAATAAAATTCTTCGTCACATTACAATTATTTTCAATTTTTTAATGAAATTTCTCGATAAAATTTAATTATTTTCAAAAAGTTTTAAAAAATTCTGAGAAATTCAATTATTTAAAAAAAAATGTGAATAAAATTCTTCACAGGAATTCAATTCTTTAAAAACATTCTTAACAAAAGTCGTTGCAAAAATTCAATTATTTTCATAAAAAACTTATCGCAGAATTTCAATTATTTTTTATACAATTTTAAATAAAATGAAAGAAAATTGCATTTATTCTAAAAAAATTTTTTAAAGTTCGCCGAAAAAATTCTAGTATTTTTAAAAATTTTTATAAAATTCTTCATAAAAATTCAATACTAAGAAATATTCAATTATTTAAAAAATTATTTATTTTTCTATTTAAATAATTAAATTCTTGAAAATTTTTCTGATAAATATTGATTAAAAATAAAATTTCACTTAAAATCTTAAATTATAATTGAATATTAAAAGCATTATAGCGTGAATTTTTAGAAATAATTGAATTTTGATAAGAGTTCCAATTAAAATTTTTGAAAATCTGAATTTATAGTTACAATATTCTTATGATATAAAATAATGATTTATCACTCTGTCATCTTAAATTTCTTCATGTTTTATAATCAGGGTGTCTAGCGAACCGGGAAAAACCCGGGAATTTTCTATTTATAGGGTATTTTTTGAATTATGTATATAAAAAATTATAATTTTTTTCAAAGCGTAATATAATAACACGGTCACAGCTCAAATCGTCAAGGGTAAATTGATAGTATGAAGCAGTAGTAAAAATAATAACTTAAATTTTATTTCAAACTAACTTTAGTACACGTTATATTATAAAAGTTAAAGGATTTTTACTATTATTATTTTTATATAACAATTTATAGGTATACAATACGTAACAGTGCACCAAACCGCAATTTTGGTATCAAAAATACTAAACAGTGAAAGAAATAATTTGAAATTTAGTAAAGTTAGATTAAAATTCTTGATATTTGATATTATTATACTAAATTCCATATTATTCCTTTCACTGTTTAGTATTCTTGATACCAAAATTTCGCCTTGTCGCATTTTTTCCCTAAATTGAGAAGCACTTTTACAAAATTTAATATAATTTTCTTTCCGTTTAGGAAAGGCAAAGATTTTACTTTTTAAAACTAAATATGGGGCATTCCATTTCAAAACGATCCTCCTTATAAACAATTGACATTGTAAGGCAATTTTTAAATCATTATTTCTTATATGTATTGAAGCCAAACTTTATTTACTATTAGTGGTTTTAAAACAAAAAAATTTCTCAACTTTATAATGGTAGACAATTTTTTTTTTTAAAATAATAGAATTTATGAAAAAAATTAAGTTTGAAAGATTAACTTTTTGAATATCTCAAAACACATCGCATCCGATTTTCTTGAAACTTATGTCAAAATAAAGCTTAAATATTCTAGTTTAATTCTATGTAAACATTATAATTAGCAATTCATGGTTTGAGAAATTAATTAAATTTTACAAGTATTTCAAAGGGTATAATGTATGTACCGAGCGGAATTTTTTTTCAAATTTTTCTACACTTCAACCTCTGACATCTTTGTAAAATTTAATAAATTTCTTAAATTCCCCTGAATTGACAATTATATTATAAAGTTGAGAGATTTTTATAAGTGAAATTTTGATATTCTATGTCAAGTTTTTAGAAATTATTGTATAACTTTAATCATTGTAATTTAATAAAAACAATATTTAATTACGTAAATAATGTTATTGATAAACATTTAAATATGTTTTTAAATCCTTTGTGAATATCTGGGAAAATTATTCAATAATCCGGGAAAAACCCGGGAATTTTAAATTGACGAATCGCTAGACACCCTGACAATAATATTCTCATAAGTTATTGAATTTCAGAAGGTTTCAATTTGAAAATCTTAAATCCTATAAAAAAATGTTAATGATTAAATATTTGTTTAAAAAAGAAGTTATTGATAAAATCGAATAATTTTACAATTAAAGAAATTCGTAAATAAATGTAATAGAACATTCTTTGGAGTGAATCAGACTATTCTTCAGGGTCAGGGAAAAAGTGAAAATTTTGTCTAGAAATCAGGGAAATGTCAGGGGAAAAAATTTAATTTTGTGGCAATCCTGTACATGTAAATACCACTGTAGTTAAGAAATAGTCAAGAAAAACGTTATCTCAAGTATACTACTATATTAAGGGATGGAAAAACTGAAAAAATCGTAGTAGATTCAATCAGTTGATAATCATATAACAACAAAAATCAACTTTTGGAAAATATTATGCAGGTTTTATTAGACCTGCAATTGACTGCAATTGACACAAAGGAAATTAACCATAAATAAAAAGTAACAAATATATCGACGTTCATTGAAATGTTCAAAACTTTAGGGACGTAAATTAGTAGTTGAATATTTATATATGTTTTAACAATTAAAACTTGATCTTGAATCACGCGGTGGATGGAATAAATGATTTTGAGGCGGTTTGTTCATCTAAAGAAATTAAACTTCTATCCTTCCGTCAAACATACGCATGAAAACAAAGCAATTCATTTATGAATTTCCATTATAGTAATTTCATCTCAAGAGACACTTCGATGTCTGTCAGCAAATATATTTAAAAAAAATATGTATTGGTAATTAGAAGTTTCAAAACTCTAAACATTTACTAAAGGATAAAAAAACAATGTTAACAACCAATTGAAAAGCTGCCTAATGATTAATCTTCAATTTGACCTCAAATTAGTGATAAGCAACCAGACACAGAAAAAGTTTGGACCACTATTACACCAACACAATGTACTGAATAACAAATGCGTAGTATACATGATACATAACGTATGTAAATGCAATTTACTAATTTACTTTTACAAAAAAAGAAGATTCTTTTCTAAATCAAATTTTTCTACTTCTACCTACTTCGTGATAGGCATTTTTTAATTCTTACGTGGCTTGCAGTCATTGATGTATGTTCACTTATTAATTTATTTATCTACTAGTATTGAACGTTTAAGGAGAAACGAAAATCTATATTGTGTTAAATGATTCATTCATTACAGATATTTCCATATCAGCAAGCATTTCTACAGATGTAAAAACATATTTAAAAAATGTCTTACCAAGTAATTTATCAAAACTTGAGGCAGGTCGAAACATTGTCTACGTTCCTAACAATACAGACTTCAATTTAAGCAAACACAGTAATTTTGATTTTATGTTAACCTACTAATTATTGGAAAAGTTGTTTCATCACATGACACTTGCTACACAATTTAATATTTATTTTTGCTAAAAAAGTTAAGCAAAGAAGTAGAAATTGTCAGATAAGTAACTGAAATACGTATAATCATTTAAGGGTGCATTTATACACCTCATTGATAGCGTGATACCGTTTTGCGTCGCGTTTTGTAACTAGGCCATGAGTGTGAGAGAGATGGAGATATATGTTGGCTCTATTTGCACTCATGGCCTAGTTACAAAACGCAACGCAAAACGCTGTCATGGGACTCCACCCTTAAGGCCTAAGCACAATAGGTTCACGAAAGTCGTTCGCGAACGCAAAGTATGAGTTAAAAAAGGACAGAGATATATTTGTGTCCTTGTCTATCTCATGCGTCTCGTTCGCGATCGACTTTCGCGAACCTATTGTGCGTTGGACTTTACACTTAGCTGTAATGCTGATTCCACACTTACCCAGCGCTCCGCTTTTCCGTGGCGCTTCGCGTGAGACAGAAAAAGATAGAGATAGCTGGGAAGTGTGGAATCAGCATAAAGGTGTTTCTACAAAAGCTTGCAAATGCATTTGACCGACTGTCCGGATTTTCGAAAGTCGTTCCGTTCGTGTCGTTTGCGAACCAACGAAATGTATGAGATAGAAAAGGACATAAATATATTTCTGTCCTTTTCTAACTCATGCTTTGTGTTCGCGAATGACTTTCGTGGACGTTCGCGAAGCAGCTGTGCGTTGACCTTTAGGGTGCGATCCCATGTATGCAGAATACGTCGACCGAAAGCAGAAAATCATGAGAGTGAAAAGAACAACAATATCTATCTATCTCTTTCGCACTCATGATTTTCTGTTTTCGGTCGACGTATTCTGCTGTAATGGGATTGCACCCTTAGGTCTGTTTTCACTTAGGGAATTTTAGAAAAACTAGACTAGACTAGATTTTGGCCAGACTGAATGATACTCTGGGTAGCGGGGATAGACACGAAGGTTCGGTTGTTTATATTTTGCTGAATAGATTGGGTTATGGTAAAAATGACGAGTCATGAAGAATTAGTCGCCCAATTTTCCGATGTGACCAGTGTAGATGCTGAAGGAGCTCAATTTTTCTTAGAATCTGCAGGGTGGCAACTCGATGTAAGACAAATTTTTATTAAATCTATAAATTGTATTTTACTTTTTAACATTTGGCCAGGATAGGGTTAACTTTTAAAACTTGATAGTAAACAATTGCAAAAGGTGTCATTTAAACAGAACACTTGTGATAGTTGAACACTTTTCATTGCATTCTTTTAAATTCATATTCCAACTTAAATGTACTAAAAAGTCTGAAAATTTGTCTTTGCTTTTAATAATGCACGACTGCAAAGAAGGCTAATAAATATTGCTGTAATAGAATCCAATTTTTTTTAATGCTTTGATTTTTTATCATTTGTATCCAATAAGATGGGAGAAACATGAAAAAATTGTGAATTTTATATTTACTTAACAACATTTGCCAATAGCCATGCATTTTTAATTTGGAAAAACGTCATGAGAATTAACTTCACCTAGCATTCTTTAACGTATTTCAATACCTTGTAAAAATTGACAATTATTAACATTTTTTGTCATATTTCGATGATATTTGAACCCAGGCTGATATTTATCCCCCTGCTCAGGCCTCGGATATTATGAATTTTATAGTGTGAATAATAACTATAGACAAATGTTTTAAAATTATATTTTTGAATCATTTTTTACGATAATAAAATTTTTAAAATATACGTATAATTACAAAATTTTAGAATAATTGAAATTTTGTAAAATTTAATTGAAAATAATTCATTTTTATAAAGTATTTTATTAGGGGAGAGTGGGGCAAACCGGCCGTACTAACGGTTGTAATAATGTAACTAATAATACAGGATTGAATTTTAATTAAATAAATAATTTTTTTCAATTACAAAACAAAAATGTTTGAAATTATCAGGGAAACAATATTAAAGGGTCTAATTCTCATTGGAAGATAATTATTTTTCATTGAAAGTAAATATTTTAATGAAAAAAACATTCTAATTAATAATAATTTTCGTGAAACTCTGATACAATGAAAATATCCTATGGCCGGTTTGCCCCACAGGCTCATTTTGAGAATAAATATTTGTTTAAAAAAAAACGCTTTTCAAATTCATCAAAGTTTTTGGTGGTAAATATTCCTGAGGTGTGTACCTTCAAAACCCAAGACCTAACATTTGGAAACATTACACGATTTCCTCAGAATGTCCTTAAGAAAAAATTCGTAAAAGTGTAGAAAAAAACTAAAAAAAAAAACTTTTGCTTCCAGCGTTGCACAAACAAAAGTAAAAAATGTCAAATTGAAAAAATAAAGTATACTACACATGGTTGTTTCAAATTTCTAAATAGCACTTTTGACAATAATTTCGCCATTTCGAAGATATTAAGAAAATCAACTTTTGAAGAATTTTAATTGCAAATTTTAAAAATAATTAAATTCTCAAAAGTTTTAATGAAAAATCTTCAAGTATAAATTTTAAAATAAAAATTTGCTTCTAAAAATTATATTAAAATATTTTAGATATGAAGAAATTCTTAGAATTTTTCCATTCTAATTTTTAAAAATATTAAATATTTCAATATATTTTCACTTAAATATTTCAAAAAGTTCAAATACACACATATAATAATAACATTAAAATTTTTTATAATTATTTTTTGAAAATATTATACCTTAATAATTTTTTAAAATAAACAATTATTATGAAAAATTGAATTTTTGTATTTAAATAATTGATTTAGAGATAAAATTTAGTTAAAAATTGTAGAAAATAATTGAATTTTGGAAGGACTATAGTTGTAATTTTTAAATAGTATTCAGAAGGTTTTTAATTGATATTTTAAAAATAGGTATTATTTCCTGTAGAAAAACAAATAAGAAGTATTTGAATATTTATTTAGCAAAATTATACAAGTTTTGATAAATTTAATTTAGAAATCAGGGAAATACAAAATAAAATTTTGGTGACAACACTAATAAAACGACTTTTTCGACTTTTTTGTATTTTTAATCGACTAAAGCGACTTCTTTTGCGCCTTAAAAAAAGTTAATCCGAGGCCTGCATTCTTTTCAACTAAAAATCATTATCCTGGTGAATTAAAAATTAACAAGTTTTAATTCTCAATTTTTGGAGGAACATTCTCGTAATCCGAGTATAAAAATGAAATGCTTACAAGAATTAAAAATTCTTTCTTTATAGGTCAACGATTTTAAGTATTAAAAATTATAACCGGTTTTCCGATCGGGATCCTCAATTTTTATTGGCAGAAAGGGGTCGTCCATAAATTACGTAAGGCATTTAGGGGGAGGGGGGTCCAGCTAGTTTTTACGAACAATAGAAAAAATGGCGCTAATACGTAAAATATCTTACAAAGGGGGGGGGGGGTCGAATTTTCCAAAAAAATGTCTTACGTAAAGTCGTCCAATTTATGGACGGCCCCAAAGGTTTTTTCGAATTTCTTAGAATTTTTTTTGTATTTTTTGAAATAACATTTTTCTTTATTGAAATTTTAACCCCCACAGCACCGAAACTTTCCTAAAAATGTATTAAATATTTACTTGCAATATTCAAAATATTTCATATGAATCATCATCATTCATATGAATATTGAAGGTATTCACTGCTCCCCAAAGGGTTAAATATTGATTAATTCTTGCATCAAGTTGGTGTTGATATTTTCTGATTAATTAATTAATTTGTTTTTCTGGTAATTCTAATTTCAATTTTATCATAAAAATAGAAAAAATTAGGAATTTTAAATCTAAAATTTAAAAGTTCAAATATTTTTATACCTATATAGAAATGAAAATATTGATACCTAATAATAATTTTCATTCTCTTTCCCCAGTAGCACGTAATGTTCCAGTAACATTGTAAAGTGTTTTTGAAGAGCTCAAAAATAATAAAGCTAAATGCAGTAAACGAAAAGAAAAAATGTTGAATTTTAAGAAATTTGGTTTTTTGAATTTTTGATAATTTTTAATAATTTTTGATTTTTTACCAAAGGGTGGAGACCATTCAAATAGTAATATTTTCCTACCGAAATAGTTAATGGTAACTAATTATTGTTTTTTTCCGGTCAAATTAAATTCCCGGATATTTCTTGATTTTCCAGATTGGTAGAAACACTGTTAAATGTATTGGTAGAAAATACGACGGTATACGATAGCTAGTTCTATAATAAAAAATTATCTTGAGGAAGCTAAATGGTCATAAAATGAACAACTTATTTTAATTCTTTTTTTTTTGTTTTTGTTTTTGTAGTAACTTTTCAGTCATTTAAAATATTCTCTAACAATTTATGCGTTATGCACAGAACTATACCTAAATTTTTATTTGGAGACCAAATTAAGTTTCTGAAATTATGAAATGATGTATTTCAGGTCGCTCTTGCAAGTTTCTATGAAACTGATGAACAAGGTGCAACAGCAAGTGGAGCGACTGCAGACATTATTCCAAATGAAAGTACACAGGAAACGAGCACCAGCGAGCAGCAACCGAAAGAAGTGAATCAAGCAAATTATAATGCCGCGACTAGACAGAAGATCGCAACTCTTAAAGATTTACAGAAAAACCACAACAGTTCTGATGAAGAAGAAGGGCAAGCCTTTTACGCCGGAGGCTCCGAAAATAGCGGACAGCAAGTTTATGGGCCGGGGAAAAAAGACCTCATATCAGAAATGTTCAAGTCATGTAAAGAACAATCACTGTCTATAGAAAGCAAGTCGAAAAAGGAAAAGGGTGAAAATTCTTTTAGCGGCACCGGATACAAGTTAGGTCAAGCGAGTAATGATGTTGAAGGTAGGCTTGCAATCAAATTTTAACCTGGACAATTAATTACGTCCGAAATGACTTATGTACTTTGAAACTTGTCATCATTTTTAGTTTTAAAAATTTCACACCAGGGGCATTCTACAATCTCATTAAAATGGTGAATTTTCTGTAAATGGCTTAAAGCATAGTTTGCAGATTATAAATGTTGATTGTACGTGCTTAAGGATAGAATGGTGTCTTTTATGATTTAAAAGATCAAATTTCGATTAATGGTTAGACATTTTCTACATAATTATAAGCAACAGTTTTCACGGTAATGTTTAAAAACAAGTTACACATGACATGTGATAATTTGAATCTTTTGTTTTTAACCAATCATTTTTTACTAAAAATAATAAAATGTTATGGTTATAAATTTAAATTAGTTTAAAATAACACTTGTTTAAACATTACTATGCTTATACATATTATATAAAAAAGTCTGACCATAAAAGATGCCATTCTGTCCCTTGGCACATACAATGTATATACTTTAAAATACTTTTCCAGCCATCTTCAAAAATTTTTTAAATGGTTTACGAAATGTACCATAAAAAACTTTTTTTTCAAAATGTCCAAAGTATCTACTTTTTTCCAAATTAATTATTAATTGGAAAAGATAAATGTTATGCATTTTCATTTAGTATTTTTCTTATATTTTGTGATGCAATATTGCATTGTTCTATTCGACGGTTGAAAATATTTTTTTTTCCTTTTTCAAAATAGCAATTTTTTATAAGTGTCTGACAACTGGACACATTTTTTTACCAAAACAGATATGCTCGGAAAATGATGATAAAATTTTTCGAGTTCATCTGAACACTAAACTTTTTTTTGAATAAAAGTTGCGAATTTAATTTACTTTTCGAACGGTGTATTTTATTTACAATTTCGTTTACCCATTTACAATTTATAGGTGGAAAATAAAACCCGTCTCACAACTAGACACACTCCCCTAGAATTTAATGATTTTTTCAATTGTATTTAATACTCATAAAATAATTATTTAAAACTGAAATTAATTTCCAATAGTATTCGATTGTAAGAGTTGATGTATTTCACGGTATTAATGTAATTCTTGTCAAACAAATGTTATAAACAAAACTTTGAGAAAATCAAAGTCAACAATTTTGTGATGACGCGACGTATACGTCGTTTTATTTAAATTGCATTTTCTGCAGATTTTGATAACAATGTGTTTTATAAATGAAATCATTTTAGTTGTTGCAGCACCATCTTCAGCTCAAGAAGCAGATTGTACACTTATTACATTAAAGCTTTGGCGCAATGGTTTTACTATAAATGAAAGAGGTCTCAGATCGTACAATGATCCGAAAAACACAGAGTTCCTAAACGCCATAAAACGTGGAGAAGTACCTATAGAAATTCAGCAAGAAATTCATTCAGGGGAAGTTCGTCTTGATATGGAAGACCATCGCAACGAAGAGTATACTCCTCCGAAAATTCAACTGAATGTTTTCTCTGGAAAAGGATATACCTTAGGAAGGTACAAAATATTATATTTACACATGGGGAGAAGTCTGTCGCGAATATGGCATTGACAGGGTGGCCACATGTCAGTAAAGTCAGGGAAATGTCAGGGAAATTGATAAAGTCAATCTTGCGGCCACCCTGATTGAGTCGGTGTTATAAATTTAGCATACACACTTGCTAACCAAAAGTATTCATTCTGACACGCAGCTTCATTTTTCAGAGCAAAATTAATTTCTAAATTGATAATTATTTATCGATATAATTATCATATAAACACCTAACTATAAATTATAGGGTTTAAGTGATGAAAATTATGAGCATTAATCCTAACAGATTTCTCTCCGTGCAGTTTTAAGTTTTATTATATGTGGTATATTTTATTAACCCTCGGAGCACATACAGGGTCTGTGTGACCCTGTCTTTTAGTTTAAACTTAAATTTCCTTTAACAAATTATAACAATTAGAGATCCTGTGACCTAAAAGTAATTGTTTTAGGTTCTAGTAACACGTTCCTATGTCCCCCGAGTATAATGCGCCAGTCAGTTGTTGTTTTTTTACAAAGTACAGTATAGAATTTATTTTTATTTTATTGTACCACTATTCAAGAATACAAATGTAAAATATTAATTACTTAAAAATATTAAAAATTACAAGAACAACAATTTTTTAAAAAATATCATTTTTTTTTGTTTTTCTGAAAAATTGTCTACTTTTCGCATTTTTTTTCTATAATAAAATATTTATAATGAAACTTTTCAAGTATAGAAACTTATTCTTCAATGTTTAAAGAATATTAAACAATTTTTTTTATGTAAATTAAATGATAAGTTTTTAAATGGTAAATAAGTCTTGAAAAGTGAACAGGGTCACAGTGACCCTGGAGTGTGCTACTTGTTCGAAAAACGAGGTGTGTGTTCCAAGGGTTAAACAGGCAGCGCCAAGGTGCACTACCTTGGAGTTCATTTAATAGGACCTGGAATAAAAAGAATGTTGTATCAATCTGAAAGTTACTAAATCTTACTCAAAATTGTTACTCTGCGGGTTTCGGGGTCGCTGATTACGAATCTGAAGTCAGGTTTTCAGGATTCAAAATGACGCATTTAATAAGGCGGTTGATGAAATTAAAAATAAATTAACTTTGCTTGAAAGTTACCACCTGCGCCATTTTGAATTATAAAAAGCAGACTTCAGATTCGTAATCAAGAACCCCAAAAACTCACGATTGGCAACTTTCAAGCAAATTTAATTGATTTTTAATTTCTTTGTCCGCCATTTTGAATTTTGAAAAACTGACTTCAGATTCGTAATCAGCGACCCCCAAAACTACCGAGTGACAATTTTCAAGCAAAATTAAGTCTTGCTCTATATGAGATCATAGCATATGAAGAAAACACATACTTTTGACCAAAGTGTTTATTTTGCTTACTTCCAGCCCATCTCCTGCTACGGTCAGCATGCCCGTAGTAACAAATATTGTAGACGCAGATGCCAACGAAAGACAAGCTAGAACTGATTTAAATTTCGATGCTAATAATCCATCGACGACTATTCAAATTCGTTTCGCTGATGGCAGCCACGTGAGGGAAAACTTTAATTTATCTCACACTATTGGTGATCTTCGTCGATTCATCACAACGTATCCTTTTCAAATAAATTTTCTAATTGTCCAACACTTTTTAACTACTGAGTTTACATGCTTGCGTTTTCCGTTTTCACATACCCATACGTCTATCCTTGTTACACTCATTGCTCAAGGCAAAACGCAGCGTCAGAATAACGCAAGCATAGCATCTAAAACTAAATAAATAATAAATATAGCCCGGTCAACTCTATTGCATGAAAACGGCATCTTTCAGCGCCTCTACCATCAACATAGCAACTAAATTATACATGCAACCTGGGTAGAATTTAGTTGCTACGTTGGTGGTAGAGGCGCTGGATGATGCCGTTCAATGCCGTTTTCGTGCAATAGAGTTAGAGTTGTCCTGTAACTACATTACTACACTGATTTCCAGGCAGGGGCTACTTATTATTAAGGTATTATTTTTATGTTTTAACTCTTTAAATAATATTTGAATATATTACTTCCTTAACGTTATTATTAGTTTACGACCTCAATACGCATCGCTGAGCTTCAGAATTCTTACTGCTTATCCCACAAAGGAATTAAATGAAGAAAGTGTTACGGTCGCCGATGCTAATTTACAAAATTCTACTGTTATTCAACGACTGAAGTGATGATTAATTCTGCAATATTCTATTTATTCAATTTGAAAATTTTGTTACATGGAATTACTTTACCATTTGGCTTTTTTATTACAATTTATGTCTTTAATTAATTCACCTAGCGATGGAAATACATAGAAAAAGTTTTTTGAATAAACAAATCGTACAGTTAATGTATTATTTTTTCTTACGTTGTTTTTAAGACCAAAAATTTCAAATGAATTTACAGGCGTTGAAATTTGCTGGATTTAGTTGGTTGTAAAAGAGTGGTATTAATTCCAGTGCCTGCTTACATCCATATAGTTTATACTTTTCCTCCTAATTCATTCATGGAAGTCTTCTAAAAACATTGTATGAATGAAATATGATAACAAATAAATACAAAATCTGTATAATCTCGTATGCTCGCAGCTAACTTCACACAAGTAACAAACTAAAAGACTTTTTGCAGGTACATACCTAATATACAATCTAAGTTTTCTGCAAGTTGATATATTTGAAGCATGAAGAAAGATAAAGAGAATGAGAGAAAGAAGTAACCCTTCTTAAAAAAGCATTGTGAGAAATGTATGATATACCTCAAATGAGCACTCCTACTTCCAAATGAAATGTAGTACCTTACAAACTAACACATACATTTATTCAATGTAATATATTTATTAAAGTGCAAATACATTACCTAGAATTGAAATTTGTAATCTAGATTTGCGTCCTAACAATAGCTTTCAACAAGCTATTGAGTCTAATCCCTGAAGTAATTCTGCTGCTTAAAGTATCAGAATTGGAGCACTTTTTTGCAAGATTAAGTAAAATAGGGTATCGACTTAGAATACTATCCGGTACATCGTGTAAAAGGCCATCTGATATTTGTCTTTCAGTCATCTTTCTGGCTAAAATGTGCTGAAAATACGTTGAGAACTTAGAATTAGAAAGAGGTTTGGGTAGATTCACGTTAAAAAGCTGAATAATTCCTTCTTAAAACTAAATCACAAAAGTAAACGAACCTTGCAAATGGCATAATAGTTGTGGTCGCTAACTTGATGTGCACATATGTCTGCTGGAGAAAATATTAAGCAATCGTCACAGCCAAAATCTGAGTCGCTTTTGTGGACGGTTTTCAAAGTTTCAAATTGATCTGAAACATGTTCAGCATATTCGTATGCAGGTTTATTAAATAAAAAAAATGGTTGCTGTGTTATTTATTTAAAATATTTAAAATATTTTCCAGACAGTTATTTAGTCATATCAGTTTCAGCAAGTCTTTCTTTAAGTATCTACTTTTATTTTATTTTTTTTTAATTTTCTCTTTCAGATCATTTAATTTTTATTTAATCCTCTCTGAAATCTTATAAACTATGTCCGACGCTTGGATAATAATATGTTTATAAAATTATTCATCCCCTGATGAGGAACTATAATTATATAGTTCGAAACTAGTTGGGATTTTAATAAATTTCATTGAAAAAACAAACCGTATCTAGGCCTTCATCTATTTTTATGTTGAAGAATTCTAGTTTTTCAAAAGAATTCAACACTTTATTCTTTATAAATTTAAGAATGCAGAACTCAAACTCAAAATTACATTAGTAATTTACCTGTGACAGATGTATGCTTATCAACCACGATAACATTTTCCAGGTCAATAAATTTGGCAGTGTTATTGGAATCAACGGCAATATTATCAAAAGAAACATCTGTTAAATAAAATGCAAAATTTTCATCTTGAAAAGTAAGCGCATGTGCTGCATTGAGTAAGCTAGAAGCTATTTCTGCTCTTAGAATCCAAAGTTCATTGTAAAACTTGGACAGAACAGGACCGACGAATTCTTCAACAATTAATCTCCCACAAGCTCCATAATATTTAGGAACAGGCCATCCCAGTCTTGCAGGTAAAATCTATTTAAAAAGTTTTACTTGATGTACGATAAGAGCAACTATCTAATTTTCTTTCAAGTTCTTAATCTAAGCAATGGATAAGCAATCCAAACTTTTTAAACCTGTTTCCACATACAACAATTCTTTCAGGAAACTGGCAACAAATTTGCATTACAGAGTTAAGAAGTTTGTTGCTAAGTATGCAAAATTGACAAGCACTTATTTCACTTCGACTTATATTGATATAACTAATGTTGATACCCACTTGAAGACAATAATATGTATTCCGAAAACTTGCATTTCTTGAGTTTTGGAGGGGTAAACATAAAACATAAAACAGAAACAGGCTTTTCTTAAAAACTACTGAATGAATGTCGATTTTAATGTGCTTTGGATTTGTTAGAAACACAAGCAATACGAATTTTCAAAATTTTAGAACAATTTTGATTTAAAAATTTTTTAAAATACTTCCATATATATGATTTCACATACGGAATTCTTAGTGAGGAAACTTTTAAGATTTCACATGTTCTTTTTTGTAGGATTTAATGTGGGTAAAGGACATTGACATAAAAGGGTTAGATTTTCTCAAGTGGACTTTAAATTTTCAAAAGTTGAAATTTATCAGTGTAAATGTGCAAAAAGATAGTTCTATTAGAGTTACGAATAACCTGTAAATTTTATTAAAAAATATTCAATTGTTTATTTTTTATAAACAATTGAAATTTTATCCATAACATTTTTAAAAAATGCATAACTTTGACAAAAATTGACGAAACTTGATGATTCTTTTTGCAAATTAACTATGAAATTCCAAACTTTATAAAAATAATGTTTACTCCATCGAAGCTCTTAATTTGTTATAAAAAATAATTATTTTTTATAAACAAATTAAAAATAAAACGTGTTCTGGATAACCATATTTAATTTTATAAATAAGAACTTTAAGACAATTTATTAAGGATTGCATATCAAAAAGAAAAAATTGTTTCAAGCAAATATTTTATTAATTATGAATTTTTTGTAAGCGCGCGCAAGCTCCGTGATGTGGGCTCCCGCGTCTGACGAATGTCGTGTGCCCCGCTTTGCACGCTTTAACTTGTTTATTTTGGAAGGTTTTCTTTCATAATTTTTTTCAAATTTGGTTTGTATGTTTTGAACTAAAATTCAATTGGAATACTTGTTTATAATAAAATTAGTAATATACTATTTTATTTATATTTATTTATGTAATCTATTTTAAGTTTATTTAGTTTTTTTATTTACTCTCCCTGCGCACAGCAGGGTTCGAGGATCCATTTACAAACAAATTTACAAAAATCTTAAGATTAATAACATATAGCCTTAACCTAATTACAATCTTTCGCTCTTATTCTACTTAAAACTACTCTTATCCGCCAGTGCCCGGGCCTCCGTTTCCGGTTTCTTTCACCCAGATTAGCTTCGTCAATCTATTATTTAAAGTTCTCTATTCCCCATGACCCTCCCCTTCGTCCTCTATAACTTCACGCACACCTTTTCTCATTTTTTCCAATTCTTTCATCCATCTCTCCCCCTGTCCATTCTCATTTAAAATCCACCTCACTCTTTCATCCACTCCATCTCCCATATTCCCCTGACACACACTTGCACACCTATCCAACACATGCTCCCAATCTTCCAGCTCATACCCACATACTCTACACATCCTTTCATCCCCTCTCATCCAATATCTACATTCATTCATCCTCTCTCCCATCCTAAAACACACCATCCTACTCCATCTGCTTTCTTCTTTCATCCATTTTAAATATTTCGGCTCTCCCACTCCTTTCACCATCTTATACCATCTATTATACTTAGAGTTCACAATTCTCTCCCATCTTTCATCCTTATCTCTCTCCTTCCATCCCTCCTCCAAAATTACCCCACCCCTTTTTCCTTTCCTTCCCTGTTTTAACGCCACAACCCTTGCTTTTTCCCACTTTGACCACTCCCTAACCCCCCTCTCTTCCCTATCTTTTATCGCTTTCCAGCACACCTGCGTCCACCCATTTCCCTTTCCTTGACTCATTCTTTCTTCAAAATTCCATGCTCTCTTTCTTTGACGCACCACCATTTTCTCTCTTCCTATCTCTTCCCTCACCATGTACCCTGGACACCACATATTCACCCCCATCGTCCATCTTATATACTTCTCATGCATGCTCTCGACTTTACTCCATTCACACCATCCCCACACTTCCACTCCATAACACAACACGGACCATACTAACGCATCAAACAACCATAACCTCTTTTTCCAATCATTCATAAACCTCCTCTTTCCTATTCCCCACACTTGCCCCATAATTTTTCCCGCTTTCTCCACTCTTCTACTAACATTTAGCTTGTGACTACCATTATACGCGAACCAATACCCCAGATAACAAAACTCATTCACTTCTTCAATCTCTCTTCCATTCATTTTCCACACTTCCTCCTCACCACTCCTTTTCTTTCGAAATCTCATCATCTTCGTCTTTTCCACATTCACCCATAACTCTTTACTTCTTGCATACAATTCAAACTCCTTAACTAACAACCTCATTCCACTTTCATTCTCTGCAAACAAAACCACATCATCCGCATATGCTAGTGAAAACAGTCTTCCTTTTCCCAACACCACACCTCCCTTCCCTCTCTTCTCTAGTCGCTCTTCCAAATCCGCCATTAATAGACTGAACAGAAGAGGACTTAGCGGGCAACCCTGCATAAGTCCCCTTCCCATCCAAAACGTCTCCCCTAATTTCTCTCCCACCCTAACCCTAGCCTTTACGTCTGTATATAACTCCTTTATCCTTTCTACAAGACTGTCCTCTATTCCTCTCTCTTTTAATGTCTTCCATAAGACATCTCGTCGGACTGACGGGAAGGCCGCCTTAAAATCTACAAATAAAGCCAATAATTTACCCCCCTCCCTTCCCAAATTCCTACTTACTAAATAATTTAGTGTGTAAATGTGGTCTAACGTTCCCATTCCCTTTCTAAAACCCGCTTGATTCTGTGGTATCCCACCTTCTCTCTCTACATTCTCTTCTAACCTTTTCCTCAGGATCTCCGCATACACCTTGTATCCAATTGGCATGAGTGTTATCCCTCTGTACTCTTCCACTTTTTTCCCTTGTCCTTTCTTCAATAAGGGTACTATTACCCCCATTCTCCACTCTTCTGGCCACCCTTCCCCTCTCCAAATCCTGTTCACTAAATCCCACATTTCCCTTCTTATCACCTCTCCCCCGTATTTCATACTCTCCCCTTCCAGACCATCGTATCCTGCTGCCTTATTTCTCTTCAATCTTTCGATTGCTCCATCCACTTCCTCTCTGCTTATCTCCTTCTCCACTTCTTCCTTCTTTATTTTCTTTCTCCCTCCCCCTCTTACTCTGTTTTCTACCCCTCCACTTAATTCTCTGAAATATTCTGTCCATTGACCCATGCTAATTTCCTTACTCACCACACTACTTCTCTTTCTTCCTTCATTTATTATTTCCCACTCTCTTCCCTCTCTCACCGCCTTTTCCACTTTTTCCATAAATCTCTTTTTCTCTTCTTCCTTCTTCTTTCTGAGTAACTTGCCGTGTTTCTTGTGCCTAACATTATAATCCTTCTTCTTTGTTCTACCCTTTCTCCAATCCTTTATACACTTTCTCAATTCCTCTCTGCTATTCTCACACTCCTCATCCCACCAACCTTTTTTCTCTCCGTTTGTTACCATCTCTTTTTCAACTTCATTCCTAACTCTCTCTATATTCCTTCTTACTCTTGCTATTTGCTCATCGACACTTTCCTCACTTTCTTCCCCTTCCCATTTTTCTTGCAGCATTTTTTCATATTTCCTTAAATTTACAATGTCCCATTTCCCCATTTTAATTTTTCCTTCCTTTTTATTCTCTTCTTTCGTCCGTCCTCTACACTTTCTACTTTCTCCTGACAATTCCACCACTAGCGGGAGATGATCCGACCCTACCTCTATTTTAACTGTCATTTTCTCTATTAATTCCCTCATCCTTTCATCCGCTAACACATAATCTATTACTGTCTCTCCTCTTCCTATATACGTAAATTCTCCTTCTTCGTCTCCTTTTATATTTCCATTACAAATTGATCCCCCCCACTCTTCTATCAAATTTACCAGTTTCTTCCCTTCCTTGTCTTCTTCTTTGTGTTTCGATGTTCTCTCATACTTCCCCAGATCTTCATTCCATATCCCTCCCCCCAATTCCCCCGTCCACGCATTTAAATCCCCCCCTATTAATACCCTCCTATCCTTACTCCTTTCCATTCGTTCTTCCAATATATTCCATCCCTCCACCTCCCCTCTCCTTCTGTATACCCCCCCTGCTGGAAGTAAAGAGATACAAAGAGATTAAAAAAAGGGGATAAAGAAAAGATTAGAAGATATAATAGTTTGGAGATGCAAAATGGATACTTAAAAGAGATACAAATTTTTTATCTCTTTCTATAACTTTATATTTATATCTCTTTTTATCCCTTCTAATCTATTTATATACAGTTTTAGATATAGAAATATATAGAAAAAAATATATAGAAAGAGATAAAAAATTGGGGATGCAAAGTGGTGAATTAAAGAAGATAGAACTATTCAATCTCTTTCTATTCATACATTTCTGTCTTCCTCTATCCATTTTCACATCCTTTCTAATCCAAAGGAAAGTAAAAAAGGAGATATCCCTTATAGAAGAAATCGATTAATTTCAATTAAAAACTTTCTCTATTGTTGTTAATTGAGTTTCTTAATCGTGTTGTTCTAATTCATTACGATTATCTATAAAAAATTTGCAAGTAAATCTTTAATAAATTTTTAGAAAAGTTTCGATGCTGTGTGAGTTTAAAACTAATTTTGGTTGTCCATTACTGATAAACATTTATTGATTAAATATATTTACAATAAACTTTAAAAATATGGAAGTTATAAACTCAAACAAAAACGTAAAATCGCACAGTGCATAAAACACGCTTTCTGATCTACTGACCCGACG